TTCTGCGCACGAGAAAGGAAGTAGCGGTGACGTCAGAACGCCGAGCCCTGATTGGCTGATCGCGACCCCCTATCTCAGCGTCGTCTGCTCCTTTGCAACGTCGTCTGCTCCTTTGCAACGTCGTCTGCTCCTTTGCAACGTCGTCTGCTCCTTTGCAACGTCGTCTGCTCGCAACATCGTCTGCGTCTGACTTACCTTTCCTGCGACTTTCGGAAGTGCAGGTCTTTACGAGCGTTCTCGACTTCGCCTTTCAGAGAGGGCAGACGAAATAACTCGAGCGGTACGTTGTCTAACAACTAGCAGACGCGCATCAAGGGGGTAAGTCAAAGACCTCACTGGCGAGGTGTCCCCAGGCACCGAGGTTTGTTTGCTAAGAACCGAGAGTGAGCGTGTTAAGGCCGGTTCACACATGCAGCGGAACGCTAAGTTAGCGCTACGTGAGCGCTCCAAGGAGCGCTCATGTGGCGCTAACTTAGCGCGTGATGTAGCGTTCGGTTAGCGCTTCAGTAGCGCTCTGTTAGCGCTTCAGAAGCGCTTTGTTAGCGCTCTGTTAGCGCTTCAGAAGCGCTTTGTTAGCGCTCTGTTAGCGCTACAGAAGCGCTAACAAAGCGCTCTGCACGCTCCTTGTGCCGTGCTTGCTGCTGCGGAACAGCGCGTGCACGGCGATTCCTTTGTTGTTGTTTTTCCTTTGGCATTGAAAGAAGAGGAAGTTAAACAGCCGCTCTCCAAGCAAAGGGTCGGGCAGGCGACCCAGAGTCATGGACTTTGAGCGACTAATTGATTGGGTACGACCTCATCGCCTTCTGTTCGATATGCGTGACCCTGGTTTTAAAGACATGCAGGTAAAAATAATCGCCTTCGAAAGAGCTCTGTGTCTCGGTCCCTCAGCCTAGGAACAAGGTTCACTAGGTGTACCTGTCGGTATCTCGGTGGCGAAAGATGTCGCGCACCCAGAAGGCTCTTCTGGGCGTTAAGCCGTCCACACACATATGCACTAATCGCATGTAAGAGCATTGGTCGCATTTCTATTTCAGCATCCCACATGTCCGCCATGGTGCTGCTGATTCACACCCAAGCACAAGAACCGAAACCGCAGTGCACGCGCTAATCCGCAGCACCGCGGTACAAAAAGCGCTACTAAAGCGCTAACACAGCGCTACTGGAGCGCTAACAAGGCGCTACTGGAGCGCTAACATGGCGCTACTGGAGCGCTAACAAAGCGCTACAGAAGCGCTAATCGCGCGCTGTGTTAGAACTAAGTCACGCGCCAGGAAGCGCCACATGAGCGCTCCTTGGAGCGCTCACGTACCGCTAACTTAGCGCTCCGCTGTTTGTGTGAACAGGCCTTTAGTGTCCGCACGTTCCCTCCCAAATACTTTTTCCCTCCTTTCGTGTGAGGCGAGACTCCTCACTCTTTAACGGCGTCGGCGGGTTGGCGCAGTTGACGTCGTCTGCTTTATGTCTGCTAGTCAAAGCGATGGCTGCTTTACCTTTTTTGCGTCTGTCGGAGATTCACCCCTTTTTCACCGGCGAGAGTCACCGTTGCCTCGGGAAACAAGGAGATAACAAGAGGAAGAAATTGACCTTTTAATCTAAAATTGAGGTCAGCGATCAAAGTATAATACGGGAAGGGTTCACAAGGGTCGCGCGGGCATATTCCATTCAGCACGCCAGCCGGTCGTGGGCAGACGGTCGCCGAGTCGCGGAGTGCCTGCTAGGCCTAACTGCGCAGCTCGCTTGGTCTCGTTCGGTGGAATCGTGGCCGTTGGAGCTTTTCCCGGGTGTTTGTGGATCCAGCGTTCTTGTTCGTCGTGGTCTGTTTTAAGCACTTTTTACTTTTTTCTTACTTTTTGAAGTCAGGACGCGGGAGAAGCGCACGTAGAAAAAGAAATCAGCATGGCCGACAGCATCGCGGCCGCGACGACCCACGTCCGTGGGTCGTCGCGACCGCGATGCTGTCGGCCATGCTGATTTCATCGTAAGAAGTGCGTAAGACAGCTTCGGAGCTGTCGTAAGATTTGGTCGTAACCTGCGCAAAACTTACGAAAATTTCGTTTCGTGAATACGAATTTGTTCTTAAGTTTTGTCTTACGCACATTTTTGGCGTAAGATCGTTTCGTGAATCTGGGCTCTGCACTTCCGGAAGTCGCAGGAAAGGCAAGACAGACGCAGACGACATTGCGAGCAGACGACGTTGCAAAGGAGCAGACGACGCTCAGATAGGGGGTCGCGATCAGCCAATCAGGGCTCGGCGTTCTGACGTCACCACTACCCCTTGTGCGAGAAGCAGACGAACTTGCCCTCCGCATAATAGTGCACGCAACTATATCCGCTTTCACCTCACAAACCACAGTATTTAAAAAAAAATTGGTTTAATTGGCAGAACCATAATAATTTCCCCCTTTATGTGAAGAGTTAAGATATACACGAAGGTGTATTTTAGATTAGATATACGTTATCTTTTCAAGACGTACACGTTTAAAACGCCAAAAGCATCGCTTGTATACCTCTGACAAGCAGATCTTGTATGAACTACTTTGCGCTGTGTATAAACAATGTGCAAAACTTCCTCCTTTTTTTTTTTTAGGTGAAAACGGATATAGTAAAACATAGTATAATAAAAACTACTTATCTGAGATTCTTCAAACAAACTAGGCCGTTGCGTAAAACTTGCACTCCGCGTAGTTCTGGTGGCGCAGCTGTACAACGTTGGCAGGTAATTACTGTGCCACATGACACCGCGCTGTTTTCCTGCGCTCCCAAAACGCATGTGGCGAGCGGCAAACAGCTTGGCTCTGAGTTTCTGTGCACATTTACTCCACCAAAGTGGGACAAAAAATATTGAGTTTCTTTTTTGAAGTTGAAATCAATTAGATTTACTTGATCTAAACCTGATATATTTAAATCATGTTTAGTTTGATTTAAGCCAATGTAGCTAGAATATATTGATTGCTTACCACTGTATGCATGTTTGAAGCATAACAGATCGAATAATAGATTTAGTCCGATCATTGATAACAATGCAGAAGAAAGAAATACTGAAAACGTAAAGTACAGTTCAATTTTCAACGTTTTATTGATGTAATCGCACTAAATCACACTAATATTAGTGTGATTTTTAAAGTCAGGTAAACGCTTTTTTTCTTTTTGTTACCTTTCTTTCACATTTCGATTTGATTACAATAGGACATGTTTTTTTAGTTTTCTTTATTTTTTTGCATTATAATTTTGATGCAGTAGGGCGTAATGTAGCTGCCGAACAAAGTACACTTTCAGAAGTCTGGAGCGTCTGCTTTCCCGCAAACCACTTCGGTGAGCCAATGGCCGCAATTCGCATAGGTCGCTCGGCGAATGACGGGGCAATAATGTGTTTAAACTTACAAAAAATAACGAAATAACTGTGTGCGTTGTCATATTCAGCATGCAGGTTTCATAGTTATCAATGTCAAAACTCCAACTGTTTTTTATTTTTTTTATTTTCAGATCTAAACAGATTACCAGCCCCGCCATTCACCGATCGACGTCTGTAGAATGCGCGCCATTGGCTCACCTAAGTGCTTCGCGGAAATCGGACAATCCAGATTTCTCAGAGTGATAAAAGGTGGAGAACAATTGCTAAACGCTCCAAACTGCTTAAGAGAAAGCAGGCTTTTTTTTGTTTTTTTTTTTGCTCACCCTCAGTTTAACATAAAGCTTTCCTGCGCGATGACTCTTCGACATTTGCACTGACTGTAAAAAAAGCGTTATTTGGAAATGTTGTAAAACATGCATTTTATTTGTGAGGCACAAGCACGAGTGCCAGGACCGACCCGCATGCCTTATATTGGTACATTTAATTGTATGGATCCAGAACTAGCCTTGCTGGCTAAGGATCCAGATGCGATATGCAGTGATTTCAATGTATACAAAATATGAATAAAGATTATTGTTATTATTAATATTATTTAAATACAAAACAATTGCACATAAACATCATCAAATAATGAAGAAGCAATATAAATCGTCATAGCAAAACTGGTCTCGCTTAGTTCACGATTTCGATCGTATAGCTTTTTTTATTCCCCGCCTCGAACTCCACTAATCCAGATTAAGTGCCAACTGTGACCGGCTCACTAGAGCCGCGACCACACTGCTGTATTACATCAGGCAGACGACGGCCTGCAGAAATTGTCCGAGGCATGTAGTTTCTTGCTTGCATAACACTGCGCATGCAAAAGTGTTCTGCAGACATGTTCGCAGCATGCGCATGTGTACGAAGTAAACATGCTTGAAACATGCTTCAGGTCTGTCCGTAGATAATGCTCTCAAGGCAGCAACCATCGAGACAAAAAAGTGAGAAAAAAAAAAGAGACCATCACCGTAGAAGAAAACAAGGTTGCTCTACCCTAACTGGAAATAATCGCCCCCCAAGAAAGAAAAAAAAAAAACAACAACGAAAAAACAGAGCCGGTTTTGAAACGTCAGGACCTCTTCCTATAGACGCTTTACACACGCGCCAAATTACAGCCGCCATTGCTGACCTTCTCTTCTCTTACCGAAATGCCGAGCAACTGAAACGGTAGTTGACGATCCTCTACAAAGGCCGATGCTTTAGAAAAGGACATAGTTGAATCTAATGTGGCAATAACCTGGCCTGCTATGGTAATGATGAAGTGAAATAAACGAAATAAGAGGAAACAAAAACTGAAGGTCAGTTATGGCGGCGTCCTTGCACAGCTGCTGCAAAGCGTCTATAGGGTTTGGTTGGGGATTTTATTTTAAGTTTTAATTTGTTACCCCTACGAGGCAAATCTCTGCCGAAGTGTTTACGTTGAAATCTTGTCTTATGTATGATATATGAGCAGTGGGACAGTAGCTTAAGTGGGAAACCCTTAAAGGGGTGTAAAAATCCTCGATCACCTTCCACAGTACAATGGCATTGCGGAGACTGTTCCGCTTATTCCAGAACCTTCCAGACTGCAACCGCAAAATAAAAGTTAAAAAATGAAAAAAAAAAAAAATTATAGACTGGCTATTTCAGATTCAGTTTTGGACAGCGTTTCTTGGGCCATCTGCTTAAACGCTGACGTCGGTCTGGAGAGCAACTCTTGCACAGTTCCGTACTCCAATACACGTCCATCAGCCATCACGAGGACCCTGCAAGAATCCAAAAAGGACGTATCAAAATGAAATCGAACGAAAAGACGCGCTAATATATGAATATACTTCCCACCAAAATATTACACACCAGCACGCCAATGGAGCGTCGCGCCGCCGCGGTGGCGCTGTCGTCGCCACGGCGCATGCGCAAAAACCATCACGCGAATCTGGTTTGTGCGCATGTGCACTGCCCACAGTAAGGAAAAAAAAAAGCTGACTTGTTTGTGAGCAGCGTGTGCGTCGGTCCAGAGGGCTTGGCAGGCTCTCTTGACCAACCAGAAGCCGAAAAGAATCACCTAGCGGTGGTACCGAGAAACAGTTTTCCTAAGAACGTAAGAGTTAAATGGAGTAACTCTTCATGGTTGAAAATAGGGTGCACGCGACGTTTCGATTGTGATCATGCAAAAATATGTAAGAAACGAACGTGCCACTGTAACTCTGTTTTACTGAAAGACCGCTCGGACGGCAGATTCCTGGCCCTCGGCGCCTGGTGTACGGACTGTGTCGATCGTTTCCTCCAGTCGCTCTCTTCCACCATAAGTTTGGATGACCGTGATTGAAACATCACGTGCACCATATTTTCAGTCACCGAGAGTTACTCCGCCTCGCTTATTGTTTTTTCGCGGCTACCGTGAGGGTATTTGATTCGGCTCCTGGTTTGCCTCGTTCGAATATTTGAAGACGCAATGGAACACGCCCAGCCCGCTTTCAGCCAATGGTGTCTCCTCATTTGCCTCCTATACTTCCCAATGAATGGCCGAACTCTCTACATATACGGCTCTGGGTCCGACCGGAGTCCGACGATCCGATTCGATGTAACCACTCAAGCCGCGCCAAAATCAGGTCGTCACGATGCTTTTGTTTCATTTATGGGTTCGCTATCACCAGCAGAAACCAATCACGCATTGGAGAACGCGCAGGACGGCGGCGCAATCACTCTGTGATCGATTTCGTCTTTATGTTTCTAATTTTTCTTTCACTCGATCGTAACTCTATTGTTGTTTTTCTTTTGTTAAAAAGATGCAGCGAACATTGTGTCTTCTGATAAACAAACGTTTTTTGTGACAGACTAAAATTTAGGTTATCAACGTTTAAGTGACACTTAATTTTTTTTCTGTTTTATAAAGAAACACGATTAAAATGTATGCCAAACATGTGGAAGAATAAACGTATTCGCAATTAACCGGCTTTTAATAAAATTCGTTAAAAATTTCATAAAACGGTCACTAGCAACAAACACTTTAACAATAAATATTGCTTCGATCTAATCTTACTGATATCTACGCGTCCTCTTAAAAGTAGAACGATATATTTTGCAAAATGAATTTTGAGATCTACAGAGGCTCGAAATTGTTATCGTAAATATTTTAGGGTACATAATAAAAAATTAAAAAAAAGTACCAAATAGATTTTTTACGCGGATGAATTTTTTTCTTCTTTTTTTTATTGTTGTAGCACTGATTTACGTACTTCGAGAGAAATCACTGTCTCCAACATGCACGAATGCAGAACGTTTTAGAATATACTTTACCCGCTGCAGTAAAATGCAGAAATTTTCAATGATAAAGCGCTTCAGAGGGTAAAAGTTTCTTTATAAACCTTTCCCACCTGGATTAATGAAGTAAGCTATAGGACAGCCGTTCATTCACTCCTTTAATATATTTTTTTGGGGGGGATCACGATTAGTGATCTCGATCTCATCGAGAATGGCGACATTGGCCGGAGAACGTTTTCTCGACTCACTTGTCGTAGTCGAGGATAGTGTGCAATCGGTGCGCGATGGTGAGCTGGGTGCAGTGGGCGAAAGCCTCCCTCAGCGTAGCCTGAATCAGCTGATCCGTGTCGCCGTCCATCTGTGACGTGGCCTCGTCCAGCACCAGCAGCCGGGGTCTCCTCAGCAGGGCACGAGCGAGGCACAGCAGCTGCCGCTGACCCACGCTGCATCCAGAAAGGAATAAAGCCGAGGTCACTGCTTATACGTCTAACAATGGAAGGCCTGGAGACACCTGCCCGAGGCCTGTTTCCTCCTTATACAGCAATGCAATCATTGTGGTCACAAAAAAGAACAACAATAACCACAACCACAACCACAACAACAACAACCACAACAGCAACAACAACCACAACAAGAACAACAACAACAACGACAACGACGACGACAACAACAACAACAACAACAATAACAACAACAACCGCAACAACAACAACAACCACAACAGCAACAACAACGACCGGGACGACGACAACGACAACAACAACAACAACGACAACGACAACGACAACTTGTTCAATGACATGTTCAAAGAACTGGCTTCGAATATGCTCGATGCTTGTCTGGAGATACTTCAATCATCATGTCTGGAACCAACACCGTGTATTCTATATGATGTATAGGAACAGTGTGTAGCAGTTTGACTGCTGATTTTGAAAGGGTACCTGACGGATGCCGCGCCATCCGTCAGGTATAGCTCGTGGCCGAAAAATCTGCGCTCAGGGATAGGCGAAATGTGCCCTGCACTACACATAAAAAGATAAAAAGGATGCCGAAATCGCTGATGCCGCTAAAAGTCGTAAACCCTGGATCACTAAAGAATTGCTCGCAAAAATTGGTATTAAAAATATGCTATATCAAAAATTTGTAACAACAAAAGAAACTGAAAAATTTATAATTTTTAAACGTTATCGAAACCAACTAAACGAAGAACTACGACATGCAAAAGAATCTTATTTCTGCAACTTATCTTTATCCTGTAATAACAAAGTCGACGTTGTATGGAACAAGTTAAACTATGTTTAGGTCGTTCATGTACCCAAAATCAAGTAGAAACGTTGAACCTCGATGGTCAGGAGGTGTCCGGAAAAGAGTTAGCTAATGCGTTTAATGAGTATTTTGTAAGTCTAGTTAAAGAAAATAATGAGTCAGATGCTTGCAAGTACATAAATGTTCGAAATAGTCACTCTTTGTTTCTCACGCCTGTCACTAGTTCGGAAGTAATATCTGTTTTTAGTGCTTTAAAAAATAGCAAAAGTTGCGATTCCGATGGTCTACAGATTAGACCAATTAAATATGTAATTGATCTTATTTCTTCTGTTTTGACACACATCTTTAATGTATGTTTGCTAGACAGCGCGTTTTCTAAACAAATGCAACTGGCTAAAGTAACCGTTCTATACAAGAAAGGCAATAAAAACGGCTAGGGTAATTACCGACCTATTTCAATACTCTGTGTTTTCTAAAGGCCTAGAAAAAATTATACTTCTACGACTAACAGCTTTTGCTGATAAGCATAATATTTTAAGTCCATCCCAATTTGTGTTTCGCAAACAACGATCTACAGAACTCGCACTTCTCGCGCAAAAAGAGCATATTCTTAAAAAATTTGAAAAAAGACAACTCACGCTTGGTTTATTCATTGACTTTAGCAAGGCATTTGATTATCTCGATCATGGTTTATTATTAAAAAATTAGACATGTATGGATTTCGTGGGCAAGTACATCAACTTTTACAATCATATTTATCCTCTCGTAGGCAGTATGTTAATATAAATGGTCATTTATCTGAAATCAAGCCGATTGAATCGGGCGTTCCACAGGGAAGTATTCTCGGGCCTTTTTTGTTCAAAATTTATATAAATGACATATTAAATATAAGTCCATCCATATACTTTGTTATTTATGCTGATGATGCAAGCCTATTTTTTAACGGTGAAAATGCCTCGGATCTTATAGATGATGCAAATAAAACACTGAAAAAGCTTCATATTTGGAGTAAACATAATGCTTTAAAAATGAATGCGAATAAAACGAAGGCAGCCTTGTTTCGACCATAAAATAGGCCTGTCAATATTACTACGAACATTTTTTTAAATTCTACTTGAATTGAAATTGTTCCCAAGTTTAAAACATTAGGTGTCGTTTTTCAAGAAAACCTATTATGGGATGACCATATCAATTATATTATATCTAAGCTATCTAGTATAGTTGGTCTTGTATATCGTAATAAACACATCTTACCACTGAACAAAGTTAATTTTATACAATTCGTCATTCTATTCACATTTAAATTATGGTCATCTCATATGGGGCACCACAGCCTATACCAACCTTCAGAAAATATACATGTTGCAAAAAAAGATACCAAGAAGTATATGTAATGTTGACATTGAATATCCAATTAGTGATGTTTTTGGTCAACTCGGTATAATAAACGTTTTTGAAATATATAAATATCGCTTATGTGCAAAATATATTATGGAAAAAAATCTACCCGAGCGTCACGTAGAAAACCTAGCGAACCTAAAACAAAAAGTTTATACGTATCCAACACGGACTAAGGAACTCTGGGAAATACCATTTTCTAGAACTAATTACGGCAATCAAACTATCGCATATACTTTACCAAATATCCTTAATCAGCTGACTAGGCAAGATATAGATATCAACAGTACATCCGTGAGCATTTTAAGGGGATATTTTATTTCAAACTTCATCATCAACAATGAGCACTGATTATATTGCGCTTAGGTAGAATGCACTGTGTGTTTGTTGATTCAATGTGTTATTGCTCTGTAAAACGCTGTTTCTTTTGTGTGATGATTTTTCACTTTTTGTTTATGAATTTGTAAAGTTTCATTGTATAATTCCTCTGGTGCCTGCTTTGCGACTGCTTGTTTGGGGTGGCTAGGGGCCAGTCAAGCTGTTTTTACAGCTTTTTTTCTTAGTCACCTTTCAACTTTTTGTTATAAAAATAAAGGAATTATTATTATTATTAAGCTGACTCTCGACTAATGTATTAGAATTGAGCGCTGGACTTGCGACTCAGCGAACGATGGGGATTCCAACCTCGTAACGGTTTGCATACTGTATACAGGTTTGCAAGAGAAGGCTCCTGTGCGCCGCGATTTTGAGCGATGCTGGCGCCGCGTAATGTTTCCGCTATGGTGGGGTGCAGCAGGCGTACGTCATTGGGATGCGCGATGACAAGATGGCGGCGCCTGCTGTATCGCCGACGACTAGCGTTGGCGACAGACTTACGCAGGAGGAGGTATCCACACAGAAGCCTAGCATCAAATATTGTAGAACGAGGCATGTTTAAGGATTGGGATTGACTTTATAAAGATCGCAACCTAAAGTGGAAGCCACAGCTGCCGCGAGCGCAGCCATCATTGATGCAGTGGCCATGCGGCTTCTGGCACATCCGGATGATCGCTTTGAGACAAGATGAGCGCTTTAGATGAGCGCTTTAGACTTTAGGAGGAGGACGAGGGGCAGGGGAGGAGGAGGAGGAGAGGGAGGAGGAGGAGTAGCAGGGAGGATGAGGAGGTGAGGAGGAGGGGAGGAGGAGTAGCAGGGAGGATCAGGAGGTGAGGAGGAGGGAGGAGGAGTATACCCTCCCCTCAGTACCCTTCCGTCCTCCTCCTCAAGAGCTGCGCTCTAATTCGGCGTTACAGGGTGTTGTAAACGTCTTTCATTTTTCTTCTTCAATTAGCGTTGGTTACAGATAATTATAAAAGAAAAATAGGCTTTCGCGAAAATTATGTCAATTACACGCTCTGCCAACGTAGCCGAACAGTGAGAAAATATCGTGAAGGTGTTTTGGTTAGGGTTCAGAAAAGACAAAGACGATTCGTCACATGCGCACTCGTCCCAGGCCGACTGGTAACAGGATGATTCGTCGTATAGGAATATTTGTCATAGGGTGACTCGTCCATCGGACAGTTCATCACGGCGAGAGTGCAGTGAGGATAATACTCTATCAACCGTATTCTCAGTTATCGGCTATGGTCCCTGGCAACTCTGCAGTTAAGACCCGAAGCTTTGAAAATATCGCGGAATAAATATATCAGATGATGGTATCTGTGCACACACTTACTTGGAATAAGCAATGCTTGAAAAGGAACTGTATTAGTCCGATATAAATTCACGATTACAAAATGCAGCGTTTCGAGTCAGTGCCCTTATACGCGCAGTTAAAGCTTACCGCGCTCGGCTGGCTCAGCGCTAACTGCCTGTGAGCTAGCTTTCCTCCTAAATTGCTGTGGTACGGTGATTTTGTGAATTTTCTTCGGATACACACTCGATAAACAGCGGTCAACTTTTCTAAAACTGAAAATAAATTAAAAAAACCCTGGTGGTAAAAAAACAATTCTTACGGGATAACATCACCCGCGGCTGACGTTAGGGCACAAGCGCAAACACAGAAATAGGTGTCTCATTGCCTGAACCTTTTTACTAATGGTCTACGTTTCAGTTGCAATTTCGAGGCCTTCCGCTTGAAAATTGCAACTGCAACCTGGACCCTAAGACCGCTAATTAAAAAGTTAAATAGGTAAATTTTAATTCACTAGGCCACTAATTGTCAATTTACGCTCGTGCCCTTACGTCCGTCGCCGTCGATAATCTTACTCCGTAGGAATAGTTTCTTTATCTAAAATGTCAATTCCTTCAGAGAAAAAAAAAATAAATAAATAAAGCGCCCGGTGTGATGATTGAGAGAGAACCTCCGATGGGCGTACTCGCGAAGCGGGGAAGTGCGATTTTTAGAGCCGATCATCTTGTCAGAAAGATGCACAACCTCCAGGCAAAGTATGTTGCAATCATGAGGCTTCAGTTCTCCTTCCACGTGCATTATCATCAAATTTGACGGAGTTCCTTCACGCACTAAATATTCGACGAGAGTGAAGATGAAAAAAGACAATACCAGCATGAATATATTGTTTATTCAGAACAAAACGAGCATCAGAAAAAACAAATATGGGTGGCCGGAGTGGCCAGAATCACAAACTGCACGCCCCCGGCGTATAGAACCAGCGAACAAGAGGGCACTCCTAGCAATTTGTTTTCAGGTGCAGTATGCCGGCTGCCGGCCACATATCCACTTCCAAATGGCTTTCGACACGTAGTTACATCCTCGAGCGTTTTCAACAATATAACGCGAGCACGGACCGGCCGGTCCATCAGCGCATCATAACTGCACGAAGTTCAGCGAAATCGTCGACAGTACGCGCGTGCGCAAAAGAAAAGCGCCAAAGCCGGCGTCGTCTGCTATGTTGTTTCCCCAATCACGACCAACCCTGGCGCAACGCCCACCGCTTGCTCCGCCCAATAGTCAGACGACCTAAAGGGTAATCAAAGCGACATACACAAGAAGCAAGCACGAAAAGCAGCCAGTAAGAAGGACACTGACACGAGTTTATAGTGAGTGAACGAAAATACAGACACACACTTCACACCAGGCACACAAACAGAGCATCTATAGTTACAAGGATGAGAGGGGTGCGCACACGAAGGCAAGCCGCGCTCAATAAATACCCGAAAACTCGCAGCAACCAAAGAACCACGAAGCAAAAACACGTACGTGCACACGCACCTGAAACACGTGCGGCACGCTCACGTTTTCAACGCGGAACTGGCGATTTGGGCATTTTGGTGATGTGAAACTTCGATATCGACTGTGTGAACGACTGTATTCAGCAGACTGCAACGTTACTATAACAGTCAGTTGGGAAACTGGCCGTCAAAACCTGTGCCGCTGTCGTCCACCGAGACCGATCTAAATAGGACAACAGCGCCACCCTTTAGTGACAAATTGAAACATGAATTTTGTCTGATATGGCTACTGATAGAGTCACTGAATGTTCCCAACAAATTGTTGTGTGTATGATCATACAGCCGGAAGTTAGTCTGCCTCAGTGGGCGTCTGGTGCCTCAGCTGTAGATGAGCAATTTAACCAGTGGGGTACAACCGCTAGCGTAGGGTCTTTAACGTGCACCACGCAGTAAAGATACATGACCGCACGTCGGTACGATGCTTATTCAGACCAAAACGGGCAGGGGTGGGGATTGAACCCAGGATCCTTGGGTTCTGCAGCGCGAGCTATCGCTCCACGTGCTCCGAGCTGGTGTGCGCTAGCCCACTCGGCCACCGATCCCCCACTGAATGTTCCCAGAGTACCGAAACACCCAGACTGGAGGCGCCAAGATGGCGGCTCAATTTTGTTTTTTTACTGTGGTCACCGTGATCTTTCAGAAAGCATGTTTTTGCGTAAAAAAAAAGAAAAAAAAACTCTTTAGGGAGGAACGTTTTTTGGAGATTAGGACAAAATAACAGCCGCGCAATGTTTTCTAAAAAATTTAGTTTATAAGATTTAGTTTATTTATAAATTTAGTTTAGAAATTTAGTTTATAAGATTTAGTTTATAAGATTTATAAGAATCAAAACCTAACAAGAAAAGCTATTTACGTATCATCATATGCCATACATTCACGCGTTCGAGAGCCCCTGTATTCACCTGAAACTGGAGCCACCGTCCCCAGTGTCCAGAAGCAGCTGCTTGGGGTCCCTCGCCACGACTTGGCGAAGGTGAGACTGCTCCAGGGCCGCCCAGATCTCCTCGTCGGTGTGCGAGTTTGTGGGGTCGAGGTTCTCGCGCAGGGTTCCCCGCACCAGGCTTGGGTCCTGGACAGAGATTCCCAAGGAGTCCAGTGTGTAAACAGCAGAGTATACGTAAGCATCCGAGATGAGCGGAGGGCGCTCGAATTGAAACAAAGGGTAACCACCGGCAAGATGGCTGCCCTGAAGACTGGTCGGACCCTGCTTCACATATCACGCGCAAAATAAATTGTGTTGTGTGCATTTTGGGCAGTTGAAAGTTATACCCGTGCCACACGGGCAACTCGAATGCCATTTACAACGAATGACATTTGAACGGTCGGCCAATCAGCGCACGACACTCCGAGCGTGGGGCGTTCCACGCGCGAGAGATCGCGAGCCGATTCGTTGATCACACGAATGTCATTCTTTGTAAATGGCATTCGAGTTGCCCGTGTGGCACGGGTATTAGCCACCCCCAATGGATGTTGTGCAGTGGCGCTGCTTCCTAGCAAACTGGTACGTAGTTCAACTACTCTTTTCAAGTAGCTGTAATTCAACTGCTTTTCTGGGTAGTTTAGTGACTTTAAATTACATTTTTCTTTCGGTAATTAGTAGCTTACTTTAATTACTTTTTCCGAATAACTTTTACACAGATTACAAATTACTTTCGAATTTTAGTGGTAAGTTTGCTTATAACTAAATATCTCTGCACAAAAAGCGATAGGATGTTGGACGATCAGCTGATATTTGCTAAGAGGGGGAAGCACGTGGCGTAGGCAGGAAGGCCGGGGGGGGGGGGGGGGGGGGGCAGAGGGTCCGAAACTCCATAAAAGTTTCACGAGCCCCCCACTGCTACAACCCTGCTGCAAGGCGTGGAGATCGGACAGACACCTCGCCAATGAGGCCGAGTAACTGCGGGTTTAGCGCCGAAGACTTTCGTTTTTTTGTGTCCCGAAGCTCAAGGAGACTTGAAGCATTTGGAGAAAGGTCTTGGCTCCGCTTCTCCTCAAAGTAAGAACTCTCGACCACTACAGTAGGTGTACACACTGCATCCCCACTCAAAGGAGGCAACAAAATGCACCACCCACTCTGAAGCTCATCTGGTGCTCCCGTAGTTCGTGCTCTACTTGAAGAATCGCATGCTAAAGGGCAACGCAAAGGTGACCTTTTTGCGTTGCCCTTCTTCTCAAAATTAAGAATAACCAGGTCTTCCAAGATTCGAAGATCGTTCGAGAAACCTTAGTAATTTTCCAAACATTTTTACGTAAAAAATTTATAAACAAACAGTGTTGGGAAGTAGTTTAAGTACATGGTGGCTTAAAATACTACTTCAAGTAGGTTTAGAAAACTTGTACTTTTCTTAAAAAACATTCTCGGAGCATGTACTTGTACTGTACTAAAGTATTTTTTCTTGTACTTTCCGAGGAAAGTACAACTCTCGACTTCAAAACACATTCCCTAAATATGAAAAAAAAAAAAAAAATGACGTGTCGTTATGTGAAAACGCGCTGTCGTCTTTCCAGACGTCATCTGGTCATTTCTCTGAGCAAAGTAATGGCGGTTATAAGACCGATACAAAGAAGTGCCTTAGAAGTCAAATAGTTTGTCAGCAAGAATAAAGTAACTACTCCGTGGCGAGTTGTTTTTATCCAATTTTTACCACCACTTAAAAAAAAAAAAAAAGAAAACCGATGAGCCTACGATTGCATACCAGTTGAAAAAAAGAAAAAGAAAACGCTGTATAGGGGGTTAAAAAGCATCGTGAAAGATAGTATTGAAAGTACTTGTATTTTACTTCGAAAGTATATTGTATCTTAGTACTTTATTTCAGGTACATTCCGCCCGGTGTACTTACTGCTTTACTTGAAGTACATAACCTCTCGTTTATTTTGTACTTCGCTTCAAGTACTTTTAGGAGTACTTTACGCAACGCTGTAAACAAGCAAACACTGTCTGCAAAAACAAGCTCAGGCAGTGCTACATCTCAATGTAGAAATGATACATACACAGTACATCATTGACCAATACACAAAAAAGTACAAAAGAATTAGGCACGCAGAAGCAGAATCAGCTATTAAAGCATTCCTGTGAAAGCACAAGCCGCTTTATATTTTGCTAGCAGAATTTCGCTAACTGATCAAAACCTAGGCACTTTCTTGTTACTGTAAAGTGATTTAAAAGTAAATTAAAAAACACAATTAATTCCTTTTTACGGTAGTAACTTACTCAGTTACTCTACTCGAGTTACGTTTGAGGCCAGTACTCAGTAACGGAACTTAATTACTTTTCCTGAGTAACTTGTACATCTTTGCTTCAATTTTGAAGATATTGCGATTGTGGGGAGAGGGGGTGACAAAACAGAAAGCGAACTGCTGGAAGCGTACTTGATAAGAAAGGAGGGAGATAACTGTGTTAGCCAGACTTTGATGTATTTAAACAAAAAAAGAAATTGCTATCTTGAGCGTTGATGCGAGAACGGTGTGGTTGTTTATTTGGGTATGTTTTTTTCATTAAACGTTCAGTTGAAGTTCAGCGCTAGTCTTGTGAATTCCTCCCTTTGTTCTTGTGCATTTGCGCGCTGCTACCGGTTCTAATCATAATCCAACTCGCCTGCATCGGCACATTGATCTTTGCTTCCTCATATAGTGATCACAGAGACACCTGCCGGAACAATGTTCATCCAGATCAAAACGGACAGGGGTGGGGATTGAGCCCAGGGTCCCTGGTTTCTGCATCGCTAGCTTTTATGTCACATGCTCCGGCCTGCGGCGGTGCTTTAACACTCTCGATAACCGATTTCCCCCTCTTAACCACCACCACCACCCTCATCCTCCTCCTCATCATCATCATTAAAATCATCCTCTTAGGCGAAGTAAAACGATGCGGAAACTTACCTGCGGGATGACTGTGACTTGGGATCGTAGTCTCCGGATCGGAACACGGGCAATGTCCAGCCCGTCGATTCGGATGCAGCCATGGGAACTCTTGAGCACCCGGAGCAGAGCCATGACCAGGGAGGACTTCCCGGCCCCTGTGCGTCCCACCACGCCTACCTGCGTGTCCGTGTCGTGATAAGAAGTCGCCGAAATGCACGCGACAAAATATACGACGTCCCTGACATTAAAAATATATATATTATACTCAATTTAACCTCAAGTCCAATCGCGGACGACGCCACGATCCAACGGAGTTAATAAAGCAGCGCCAGAAGTTGATAAGAAACGAAGAGAGCAGCGCGTGCGGGTCATCTTGTTATTGTTCCACAGATAATGAAACCGCACCATTTAGAAAAAAATGACGCAGAGGAATAGAATCGCGAAGCAATCAGAGCGAGCACAAGAAGCCAAGCCCTTCGTGTCAAACTCACGAAGTCACAAAATGCCCGTAACAACAGAAAGAATGAGAATTCGTTAAACAGCGACTGTTAAGAACAGTCGCGGCGACAACAGTAGGAGTACGTTGAGGCGTCGAGTGAAACGTTGGGACGTTCTTCTAGTGTTGTCTTTTTCTTAGACTTGAAAGTTTCTTAAATTTTTGGCACCACAGTCTCAGCTGTTGCATTAGGATTCAATATAATTTGTTATCTATAAATTCAAAATCGTTCGTAAGGAAACGGCAAATGAAGGTTATGCTAAAACCAACATTTAAAATTTCCCGCGCTCTCCAGTGGAGTGAAGTCACATCTTGGCTGTGTTCTAAACCAACACAAATTAAAAACCGCTTATCGCGGGTAGTCTTTAGAACGCAAAGGTACCAAACCCTTGCTTTGAAGTAATATCGAGTAAATTTTGGAACACGGCAATTGTAAAACACGCAAATCAAGTATACAGTCTAGAGACAATACTTAGCGCATGGTCTTTTTCTGACTGGCGTGAGCTTTTCTAGCGTTCATCTTGTACCATCCGACTTCTTGTAATCCGTAATAAACAGGCTGTACTGTCACCTCTCCATATTAAAATTGAAGTCACGTTCACAAAAATAACGGAGAAGGTTCAGGCGCGAACTAGTCAGCATTCAAAATTTTGAACACTCGAGACTGGGAACAATAATTAGCTGCATGTTTTGTCATTCGCGAAACGCGTTTAAATGCGGTAGCTAGAGTGAGTGGGTGGTGCTCAGGGGACGACGATCTTTCAGTTAATGAAGTGGCGGGCAGAAATGAATCTCAAAGCACCCACCTGCTCAGAAGAACCAATATTTTTACTAATGATTCTTTGATTTAAATACAAAACAAATCCACTTAGACAACATCAAATGATAAACAAACGGTGAATAAAAGAATATTTTCGCGATGAATTTGGCGGGAAAGGTTTGATTTAAATTATAGTGAAACTAGTGTGATGTAAATTATGACTTACAACATGATTTAAATCATCTTGATTCTCATTCTCCCCTGGATCTTGCGAGTCTCACCTTTTCAGAAGGCTGCACCGTAAAGGTGATGCCCTTGAGCACGTCCGGTAGAATTCCGGGGTTGTACGACGCCGCGTACGACTGGAACTCCACTTTGCCTTCTTGCGGCCACTCCGAGGTCTTCGATACTGCCGGGCCAAGGTCATACTTCTCCAGTCCGGGCTCAACCTCACTCTGTGAAGACAAGGAGTGAGTTGGTTGAAGGAAGAAACCTTTTTCAAAAGCGCGAGCGCCATCTAGCAGCTACTGGGCCTGCTATTCGAGGCTGCCATTGCTTGGGTGCGTACTCCGAGTATCTGTTTGACACAAGGATTGCGTCAGCGCAAGGTGAAGACTCAGATCTAATAAACGCACGCTTCGTGTTCAAGACGTGGAGGCGGCCAATGTTGCTGGGCGGTGTTTTGAAAATCGTCTATCGAACTAGCGTGGTAGAGCCCCGGATTAAACAGGTCGGGTCAAGAAAAATGAACGATAATAATTCCTGGAGAAGGGGAACAAGAAGGACAAAGGACAAACACAAATCTCCAAACACAGCTAGGCGACTGGAGCGCGTTGAAAAATTCCGCCTGGTGCTGGTATCGAACCAGGTACCTCTCCATTTCCGGTGGAGCGCTCTACCAACTGAGATGCAGGCGAGCTGGACAGAAGACAGGATAATAATCCCTGGAGTAGGGGAACAAGGGGGACAAAGGGCAAACACAAATCTTCACACACCACTAGGTGGCTGGTGTGCACCGAAAAAAAAAAAATTCGCCTGGTCCTGGTATTTAACCAGGGACCTCTCCATTTCAAGTGGACGTCTAACTTCTGGTTAGCCCAGTTGGTAGAACGCTCCACTTGAAATGAAGGGGACCCTAGTTCGATACCAGGACCAGGCGGATTTATTTTTCAGCGCGCACCAGTCACCTAGCTGTGTTTGAAATTTGTGTTTGTCCCTCGTCTTTATTGTTCCCCTTCTCGAGGGAATATTGTCGTTTGTTTTGTCCACTCCGCTTGCACCGTTGAATTATTTAAAAGCAATCTGTCAGCGGGTACAAGTTCTTTTTTCGTTACGAACACACTGTTTTAAGCGCAGGAAAGATTTATTGTTCGTCCGACAACCAAATTTTGAAGAAAAAAAAACTATTTTCGTCAATGCTGTAACGAGATGCAAAAGCTTTTTTACTGCGGTAGCAGTTAGAGGGGCACTTCACGGGTTTTGTGCTCCCTATCGACGCGGGCCACTTTCGGCACTCCGCCAAAAGATCCCACATTGACGCCACGCCGCTAGACACGACTCTGGTGCCACGTCGAGCATCACGTCACCTACACGATAATAATCCCAGGAACAGAGGAACATGGGGGGACAAATACAGACACAAATCAACATACGTATATAGGTTACTGGTGCGCGCTTAAAAATCCTCCTGGCCCTAGTATGAAACCAGGGGCCTCTCCATTTTAAGTGGAGAGCTCTACCGACAGAGTTAACGAGGAGTGCATTTCAATAGAGCGTTCTTCTTCAATATTAAATAAGAGCGCTCTATTGAAGAAGATTACGTGAACATGATGACGTCGACATGCCCACAAGGCCTCTAGGCCTGTCCACAGGTCTTGTGCAGGGTAAACACCGAGGTGTGGAGACAACAAACGTGTCAGAGCGCCCCTATAGGTCGATCTCCTCGCCACTACAAAGAAAGCACGTCACTCACCACATAACTATATTGTGGTGCGCTCCACTTAGCCTGCGTGCACCTCGCAGCTTCCACAATGCTGCACAGATCTTTTGAGATGAAGTATACAACTTTGTTAGAAGGGCGCCGCCATCTTTAAATATCGTCGCTTCCAGTATGGGCAAAATCATTGTTTTGCTGTCGCCACGTCAATAGAATACATTTAGGATACAAGCGTAACCATCACCCATTCTCGTTTTGTCTTTCCCCTCTTTTTTTTTTTTACTATTTGAAGGTTAAAATGTTTTATTATTTTTTCGTCGGCCATACCGGATATGTCTACATGGTGACTGGGGACGGGAATAAGCGAAAAAGGTACATAGGTGGGTGCTAAGCCGGCAAAACCCCGGGAGGGAAATTAGCTGGAGCTACACGTTTGAAACTTGAGAGCGCAATTGTGGAAGTGTATTCAGTGACCACAAGACGGTGTTAGTTTCAGTCTAATGACACTTCACAAGACGTTCAGGCAGCCGCACCAATGACAGAGAAGGGTTCATGCATGCACATGCTGTTTCGTCGTTCCTGGATCTGAAACGCTATTCTCAAAGTGTCCTTCAATTACCACAAGGCAGTCCTAGTTTCTGTCCAATAAAATTGTTTAACAGGTTCACGAAATGCTTTCTACTTAAAGCACCCTCATTGGTTCCGAATTGCTATAGACTTTTCGCCCAGTGTGTTGCTCGGTTTAATACGAGACGCCTATACGGACTCCATGGAGCGCGCTTGCACCTTTCGGTCCATCTGCTACGAAATGACACCTCAGCTGCTCTAATGTCACACTTCAGCTGTCGCGGTGGTTCAACTTACAGGTAGCTTAAGTGTTTATCTATTTTTTTCTCTCTTTTTTGGGGTGACACTAGAAAGAGCATATGGTGACATTCGCACTCCGCTGGTCCATTTCGCTTCGCAGCAACTTCCTCTCGTTGAACACGTCGAGAGATGTGCATGTGCAACCGAACTACACCTAAAATATGCATTTGCAGGACACTAAATTAAGCACTTGTTGTGTAAATATTATTGTTCGATGAAGTTTGGTGAAAGTTTAATAAAAGTATGGTGTCTTGACCACTCTCTCTTCTGGCAACGTTATCAGTGAACGTGCTGCTTACCTCGGGAGGAAGCTCGGTGTAGTCGAGGCAGCGCTCGAAGCCCACCGCAGCTTGAAGGGCGGAGAACATCGCCAGACACATGATAGACAATGTTTGTAGGAGCTGCGAAGAAAACATCAATGGAGTATATCAGGCGACGTCGTTTCGCCTTTTGTACATCTGGATCTTTCGAGGGAAGTTGCTTCTCGCCTCGAGAAAAATATATGATTGAGTCACATTGCTCAGACATCATCCGCAAGACACGGTACTTTGTTTGCCGCAGACATGACGACAGAAATGTCTGCATACACACTTCAATCATGTGCGAAGCATGTTTTCTCCATACATATGCATGCTCAGAACATGTAGGCAGTTTTCGTATGACCAATGTGACAGGACCACTACACAATTAAAGAAACGCGACTGAGGCAGTGGCTGCAGACTGTCTTCTCTATGATGTATCAGCAGTGTGACAGAAGCTTAAGTGACTGACCGATCGATTGATTGACCGATCAATTTATTTGATTTTGCCGCGCGCGCAGCTGGCCAAGTATGCAGCGCGGCCGTGGCCTAACGGTTATATCGTGCTTGCTTCCCACGCGAAGCGCCAGGGTTCGATTCCTGGAGGCGACGCGTCTTTTATTTATTCTTGCAATTTAGTGGCCTGGTACATTCGAGAACTCTGGTGTTTGTTCGGGGTACGAACGTTCCAGTCGCCGAACCTTCTAGGTCGATTGTTCCAGAAGCCAACGCGTGTAGATCCACGTTGCGATGCCCAGTCAGTCGCGCCCCAGCGTACGACCCGCTGTTATGCCGCCATCGACGCCCGCGACGCTCGACTCTTATCTAACTTACTTCCATTTTGTTTTTGGGCACAAGTTCGCCCCATTAAACATTTAGTTTCTTTAGTTGTCATCGACTCAACAATTTTCATTCGTGACAATATATTAGTAGATTGGTAGATCAAGCAATCCATTGACTGATCTATCGATTCATTAATGAAATAATCAATTTCGTTGTTGGTTTTGTGATTGACCAATTAATTAATTAACAAATTCATTTATTTGTTGGTGATTGATTGATTGATTGATTGATTGATTGATTGATTGATTGATTGACTGACTGACGAATGGATGGATGGAATGATGGATGAATGCTCTCACCGCCGACGCGGCGCTGGCGCTGAGTCCGAGGGCGCTCGGGTCGGGTGGCAAGTCTTCCCGGAGGAGTAGGACTGTGAGCAGCAGCGTGCAGAGGACCACCAGGAAGCCGCAGAAGAAGGTCACCAGGCGCGCGTAGCGGTACAGGCAGCAGTAGGTCCAGTAGGCACGCATGTTGACGTCCACCAGGCGGCAGAAGTGGGCGGAGAATCGGTCCAGGACCCCGTAGGCGCGGATGCTGCTCAGGGAGTCCATAGTCTCGGTCACGTGGGACATCATCCGGGACGTGTGCACGGCCTCGAGGAACTTGGCCGGACGTGCGGCTCTCACCCCCAGCCGCTGCAGTAAAATAAAAAAAAGCAAAAAAAGAAAAAAAAAAGAATTTTGAAGCTAAATTTGGCGGGACCCGATAAATGAAGCTGGGAAATCTTTTTATCACTACGACCTTACAGCTGCTGTCAGACTGGTCGCACGTCATGCAAAAGTCACGGTATCTGCCACAGACATGATGACAGAGGCATCTTCAGACGTGCCTGAAGCATGTTTACTTCGTACTCATTTAAGCAGCGGTCACAGTGCTAATATATCATACAAAAAAGACAGTCTGCAGGAACTGTCTTAGGTGCTTGTCTTTGTCGCGGACCCGTCACGTTAGTCATAGAAAAAAGAGCTTCGAGAGTTCTCCAGGCGTGTTCGCCAATAATTCAGTCACCATTCCTGCAGCGAGCATTGTCTTTCGTATGATGTATGAGTGGTGGTGCGACTGCACGCGCCTTACAAAAAACACATCGTGTACCCACTGCAATAACTTGCCTATTCGTTTGTGGGGAGGGGTGCGCCCTCGACTTGTGCGTTTAGCGTCGTATCCTGCCCATATATCGAAAGTAGTCCCCAAATAAAAACAAATGACGTCGCAGGTGCCGGCGTGTCATAATGTTGAATGTCGTGATCCTGGCTTTTTGTGATAGAAGTTCCGGCAAAAAGTAGCAGCGAATGTGGCTGTCGCCGTCGTCGCGGCGTCTCAACTTCTTGCTCCTGAGGCTTCCATAGTGTGTCAAGCTGGATAGCATGCACACATCTAGCTTCGCTGCTTTGACAACGTCGCGACCACATGATACTTCTATGACGTCATCGGAATGAAATTGTGAGAATCGCAGGGTGTTTTGGGGGGTAAGTCGTGTCCCCGCTCAATTTATCGGGAAATCATAGTCACTCTGCGACGTCACAGGCGACGTTCCGGTATCGCGTGAAGTCGCAGTTTCACATCAACACCGCTGTGTAATTGAGAGTAACAGAGTGTGAAACGTAAGGCCCCTCAATATGTTTTGTGCTTGCCATGCTAGTATATACGTGAAATGCCGATGTGCACAAGGCCAGTGCCTCGTGCTGCACATGGAAGCGAATGGCGACGCAGCACCCGCACGTGGCATGTGTCTCGAGCGTTCGCTCAACAATGGTTGTCGGTACTTGCCAAAAATAGGACGCATACATTTCGTCGAGGAACTCTATATCCGTTGTAACGTAAAAAAAAAAAAAAAAAAATTCCTAGGACACCTAAGCACTTCTATGAGCTCGTTCTTGTACTGGCGTGGACGGCCACGTTTCGCAACTGCCGAAGCGGCGGCCGCCGACGATATAGATGCTTCAGTCACCGCCATGTTCCTCGGCGCCAACGCGAGCAGAAGCGGCCGTAGCCCCCCAGCCCCCACCGGCAACGCCTGACATGAGAGCGGCGGCCGAGCGCGCGCTCTCGTGAAACGGCCGCCAATGGCTATCTGGGAGCCGTTTTGCTCAGCGAATGGGAAAATGGGCATTTCTTTCGCGTTTTTTTTCGCGGTTAAAGACGTGGCCGGCTCCGCTAAATAGGTCCCCCCGCAGTTAATGCTTTCGCATTAAAAAGAAAGTTTTGCCCACTTTTCTTAGCTGCGTGAGGTAGTTAAGACTTAGTTGTCGAGGGAAGAAACAGTGGTTTCTGCCGTTAGAAACGCGTTGGTCTTGATGGAATAACATTAAGCTAATCTGATATGCGACCACGTGTATCACAATTTAACAGATAAAGGGGGGAAATAGTAAGGTTCTGCTAGGAGCCGAACTTTATTTACTGTGCAGTTTATGAGGTGAATACAAGTATAGTAGAACATAGTGTGCTGCGCCTCGGCAGGTTATTTTGAAGACCAGGAATGGAGCCGCAGTTTTTAATTAACAAAGGATGCGTTTCATCAGCCGATGTTCATGGAGTTGTGCAACGATCTGCTGTAGCAGCTGCCCGTAGCGGCCTGCTGTAACAGCCGGTTGTAACGAATAACCGACATCGAAAAGCGTTAAGTTCATTGGGAACCAAGTAAAAAGACCTCAGTCACGCGGCAGGATTTCAATGCACCACCTGATGTTGTGAGCCAAGTGCTCTGCCGACTGAGTTATCCAGGGTCAATAATTAGAGCACGCAAAGGCGTATTCATTCTCGCGGCGTGCGAAGGCGCTGTCGCGCGCTTAGGGGACTTTCCTGTCATAAGGCGCCATCTCAAGGTCTGCGTCAGAAATGAGGGCGTATCTTTGGAAGGCGATGCCGTTAGGACGCCCTTCTTTTTTCTTTTTTTTTTCCTGGAAGGCCTTTTACATCTTTGTGCTTACCAGTCTTTGACAGTCAGCTCAAGCTTGTATACATTTTTAAATTTCTATTCCAGTTGCATTTATTTATCATTTCTATTCAAACTATAAATGCTAAAAAAGAACTGCATGAGTTGGACTCTTTCTAGGGCCAATGAAGTTTCTTACGACAAGAAATGCGAGGAGAACGCTGGACGCGACGCCCACAATCAAGACGAGTGGTGACTGTGTACCGATGATGACCAGTCTGGAGAATGCGAACAGGGTGTGCTGGACGAACTGCTTGCCGGACAGGTACAGCCGACTGTCCATGTGGTCGAGGTCCACCGAGAACCGGTTCACTATCCGACCGCGAGGTGTTGACCCGAAGAAGGAGACCGGGCTCGACAGGACGGCGCTCAGCATCTCGCTGTGCAATAAGCTGGACAGCCGGCGCATCGCCACCGCCAGCAGAACACTCCCGAGGACCCTGGTGAGGACTGAAAGAAGAAACGTAAACTGCGGTCACACTCTAAAGGCCCGTTCACACTCTTGCGACCCGGCAAGACCGAGAGAGACCAGACCGGTTTTTAAGCCTCTTGCGATCTCTTAGAACCAGCTCCGCTGCAGCACATCCGGTCCTAAGAAATCGCAAAAGGCTTAAAAACCGGTCTGGTCTCTCTCGGTCTTACTCGGTCGCAAGAGTGTGAACGGCGCTTTATACGTTATACAAAAGACAATCTGCTGACACTGTTTGTGGTGTGTCCCTTCCTAGTATGCAAGTCCCGTTAGGTTGGTCATATAAAACCTTTCAGCAAACATCCTCGAAGCATATATATGTGTAAAGAAAAGAGACTTTGAACATGCTTGAAGAACATCCGCAGATAAATCTAGCGCTATGACTGCCGCGAACACCGCGTATCGCGTGTCTTTTGTACGAGGTATGAGCGGTGTGACTGCCGCTGAAAGACGTCCTTACCATCGATCGTGCAGATCGCTGCAAGGATAGGGATCCAAGACGGTTCCTGCGGATCGACGGTCACCGCGCCGACTTCCATCTGCGTCCACCTCTTGACCCAGCTTAGCTGCCATCCGAGGGCAATCGCGCTCACCGCGAAGGTTACCAAACCTAGGCCGATGCAGGGTCCGCCCATTCTCACCAGGGCACGAATCAGCTGCCAGGAGCTCTGCGTGCATACGCACAAACGCAATGTGCACAAACCAACGAAACTCCAAGCGCGGGCACATGCAGAAGTCAGGGATTCCCCAAGCAGCAACCACTTGGCCAATCACTGGCCAATGGCTGGCAATGGTCCTTTGGCCAGTAACCAGACAAGAGCCAGCCACTGGCCGATGAAAGGCCTTTCTCTGGCCATTGGACTATAGCCACTGCCCATCAGCCCCCCAATGGCCAATGAATGGCAAATAGCCATCAGCCATCCGCCAACCATTGTCCAATGAATGGCCACTCTTTGGCTATTGGCCATAAGACCATCTCTAGTCATTGGCCAATACTAGGCCAAAATCCGCGCTGACTGGGAGCTTTTGGAGCCACACGCCTGCCCGTTACACCGGCCTGTCTCAATACCACCTAGAAGACTAGGCCTGCGCATGACGTCATCATTAGTGGATCACCTACCCAACGACAAGAGTACGCCACAAAGAGGCAGACTCGTTCGTCTGGCGTCGCCATCTTCTAGCATCGCGCTCGTTATGAGATTCTGTAAGACGCACCGGCGGCGGGGGTACTGACAAACGCTAGGTGGAGCTGCGTCGATTCACAAGTGATGACGTTAAGGGGGATAAGGGGTAAACAGGTCCGGAGGGGGGGGGGGGGGGGGGGCATAGGCGTAGAAGATAGAGTAGAAAAGAGAAATGAAGATTTTATTTTTCAGTCACCGTTTTTTTTTTTTCGAGGGTTGGCCGGTTGCCATAACACACGCTTTTCCACGCTCTATGTTTGTGAAAATACAGGTTAATATTGCGTAACATTGTCATACTTGGCTTATTGGACCACCGAAGAAAACCTTTCACACTTTCAGTCTTGATTTGTATCTTGTGATAGCTATCAAACGCTATCGTTTAACAGACAAAAACACAGAGAGATACTAGAGCATTTTGAAATGGTGTACCTTCGAAACTAATGAAAGGGAGGCCGGGACAAAATGATTTCGCTTCAACGAGGGGACCGGAGAAGTGTTGGTACAGCTCAAAGTTGAGCTTCGGTTGTTCAAAACCAAATAAATGGTAAAAACAATTGCCATTAAGACACGTGATTTACCTTTGTAGATTCCACCAGCTCGTCTGCAGTTACCCGTCCATTTGAGCCCTCTCCGCTCAAGTCAGAATCATGGCCGCTGCATACGAATACAACGAATTAAAATTCGGGATCTGATTCATGTAATACATTTTATGTAATGCATTTCATTTGAAATGCCTTTGAGGTATAATAAACTGAACTGAACTGAACTGAATTGGCGCTACCGCACTGAGAACATGAGATAACCGAAACAGTTTAATCATCATCTTCATCTACCTCACTCTACGAATCCATGTGCTCATGAACATCGAAACTGCCTCAAATATAATGTACAAAAAAGAATGACACATTTCAAGGTGTTCATGACTTCCCAATGATGTTGTCATGCGCCGAGCAACCGAGGGAGAGGAGGAGACCAGAGAGCGCAGGGACGTCAGAAAGCCGATGTCTGACTCCAATGATTAGAGGGTAGACGTAAAGTTAGCGGCCTTTGTGTCCCATGCACCCGTCGAATGCGTTTGATTGAGTGAGCCAAAAGCCTGACGCAGGCGTTCTCCACTAAAACGCGTTCGACGAGTGCGGCGGACACAAAGGCGGCTAGCTTTACGTCTACCCTCTAATCATTCGAACCGGAGCTAGGCGTTGTCCCCACGCTCTCTGGTCTCCTCCTCCACCCCTGTTTCCCGCCGCATACAGCTAGTATTCTAGACGAGTTATGAAATTAGCCAAGACGGTGTAATTACGATAAGTAGTAGAATTAAAATTGAATAACAAATAAAAATTTTAGATTAAAAATATTTCGCGTAAAAGTCCCAGCCAATATCTTCTTTGGTGGAAGCTATATTGTCGTGGCACGAACATATGATTACGTAAGGACTGCTAGTTTCTAGAGTTTTAATTGTTAATGCTCAGAGTGAACGTGTTGCTGAATGTAAACTGGGCGAATTCGCATCGGTTCGGCCACTGTCCTTTGCGTTTACTTTGACCTTCGGGGTCCGTATCACGTAATCTGGGGCTATGCCTACGGTACTACATACACAGGTGCCACGAGCTGCTCAAAAATATTGTGGGATCTACCGAGGTCACATAAGAAGCATCTTGGGTTTCTTGTAGACTATCAATTTTATATTTCGAGCCTCGGATTTTTATTACTATGAATCACCACCAGGCAGCTTTTTTTAAAATTATTATTACGATATGCATCACGGGTCAGGATGGCTGGTGTAAAATTTATATTTAGTCTGATGATAAAAATTTCAGTGAGAAAAGCCATCAGGAGCGCAGTACAAAAAACAAAAATTTGAACAAGATGCCAAATCCAGGAAGAGCGCAGATGCCCTGAAAAAGTATGTGAAAGTACACGAGGGCCCTCCAAGTTCCGCTGAACTAGCAGAGGGAGACAAATTGAACGAAAAGAGCTCGTCAAGCGAAGATTATTCCCATACAAAGGAAAGTGACACACTGCAGCAATATCTTGACAACGCCGAGTGCTCCACTGCCAGAGTAGTCTGTGACACTAAACAAGATATTGATGACACATCGAATGAGATAAAGGCCGCCAGCGACGAACTGTCTGATCCTGCATTGTGGCCTAAGCTGACACAACAAATCCGGGACGCCATAGTCAGCCAAGAGCCTGCGAATATTGTCACGGGTCGAGACCAAAAGAACAATAAATAAACAGAAAGAAATGAACGTTTAATGTGGCGAACTTGTGCCAAAAATAAACGGGTACAAAAGATAATGAGAGAGCGTCGCGGGCGTCGAAGTCGGCGTGACAGCAGAGTCGAACGCTGGGGCGAAACTGATTCCGGCTTGCCACGCGGAGCCGCTTTTGTACACGCGTGGGCTTCTGGAGAATTCGGCGTAGAAGGTTCGGCGCGTAGAACATTCTAATCTCGAATCTTGAAGGTGCGAAATGCCCGCGGCGAAAGAACTGTGGAAGCTCGGCGTCATCACGCGCTCAGCAATCACGCACACAGCTATGGCCGCCAGTGAATATTGCCTATAGGTGTTGTGTTGCCTGAACTCACATCTCGTTTTGTTTTTGGTCCGGTTGCGTCGACACGGATCCATGTCGAAGTGTTTCCGGAGCATTCGAGTCATTGAGTAGATCTTGGAGAGTGTCATAAACTATGACGCCTTTGTTGTGAATGAGAACCAGCTTGTCCATGTGGCTTAGAAAAGACCCCTGGTTGCATGCCATGATTCGAGTCTACAAAAAAGGCACAAAAGGTGGGGAAAAAAAGGTAATCATATGTTAGAATCGTGTTTCGACCTGAAAGGTACGATTCAAAGAGAAAGTACTTGCGCATAAAAGTTGGATCTTCAGTTCGCTGAAATATGCAACATTTTTTGTTCTTTGTTGTTGTCGAAACATTGAAGGATGAGAAACTACCAACTGCAAGTAACTTCCAAATGTTAATTTAGTGCGGATATGGTACGTGTCTTACATCCGGTTACTATTGCAAAGAATTTGAAATAGCTTTCTCGACTGGCCGCCGAAACAAGTTTATGAGGTTACGGTCGCTGACAGCCTTGGGACCGCGTGGGGTGACGAGTCCTGAGCATTTTATTATAACTCGTTAGTCGGTGTGATGGGGGAAGAATTATTAAGTTTCACATTAGTATCAGAACCTAAACAGGCTTCATGCTTATTACAAAAAATAGATTGCCTTTTTGAAAAGTAAGCTCAATATGTATTTTCGGTTGCTTTCTGTATATTAGTAGTTGAAAAATATTAAAAAAGTACACTACTTTTAATCGCATCCTATAAATAAAACTATTTGATTACTAGCAAGACATTTACCAATGCTCTAAACATGGCGCAACTTTGTTACAGCATTGCCCAATCCAGAATGTTTCAACAACGTACCGAGATGGCATTCTTTTAGGTGCTATTCTTGGCCACAGCGAATGGTAACCAAACATTGTTAACATAGACAAAACCAGGCTTTAGTACAGCAGCTATCAAGGCTTTTAAGTAGCCTCTTCACCTTTTTAACACCCTCTCAATGGTGTCTTACTAATCTCCTAACAGCACTGAAAATAGCGAAATCCAGGCGTTAAACACTCTCTAGTACAGCGTAGCGCAGAGCTTCTAAATCCCGACACTTTAGCCATCTTGGTCTTGAACATAATTGTTGCCAGTTATATGGCGCTCTATCAAAAATCAGACGAAACGCTTTACCGGCCTCCAGGGGACTTTCAGGGCTGGACGAAATGGTACGAAGGGATGTCCCGGACCAAAAGAATGGGACATTGTCACCTGCTGCAATTGGCCAGACTCGCAGCGATGTCCTATCGCAGCAGGCGTCGATGTCCCGGTCCCTTGGTCCCGCCATGTAGATTAGGCCCCAGAAATGCTAGAACATATCGCAACATAACAAAACTCTATCGCAAGGTGTTTCCTACACCACGTACCTCAAGATCAGAAGGTCTCATAACGAAATCGTAACGATCGCCAATTGATTTTTTTTTTTTCAGAATCCTATTGAGACACATTAGCTGTCTCCATTTCTTGGGCCCGAAGCGGGTGATTGCGTCCGAGTCCACGCAGAACGTGGACGCTGCCCTCGTGTCTAATACATGTTCCAAGTTCGTGCCCAGACAGACTGATAATTGGCTCAGCGGCTACCAGATGGCGCACATTTTTTAAAAGGGTCTATCGCAACCAATCGGCACTACGCTCCAAAAATGCGGCGCTCACAAGATAATCGATGAATAGGGTGCCTCAACGTCCCGCCCTTTCCGTGACAGATCTGTCACAAAATATACAACAAGATCCGTGATAGACGTCAGACATGAGCGAGGCAATAACTGCGGAAGAACCTTGTTCTTCAGGATGCCCTTGTTGCCGATCACTTCTCTGAAGACCTTCTTAGCAACGACGGCGTCGAGGGCGCTCAGGGGATCATCGAGGAGGTAAACGTCCGCCCGGTTGTAAGCAGCGCGCGCCAGGCTGATCCTCTGCTTCTGCCCGCCACTCAGCGTTTCGCCCTGGAAGGAGAAACCAAAAACCAAAGCACCAGTCAAACTGCTCAAACATCATACAAAAGACACGGTTCACTACAGACGAGATGACAGAAGTTTCTGCGTACACGCGTCAGCATGCTCGGCTTCATACATGAGTATAGTTATGACATGCCTACAGACAACGCCCAGCTTGACAGGATAGTTATCAGATGGGAAAACAGACTGAGACAGTGCCTGCAGATTGTCTTTTGTACGGCGTATTACCAGTGTGACCGCAGCCCAAAGAACATGTTCAGCGTTCTACAGTTGACGATATTTCCTTATTCAATTAATTTCTCGTTCGAATTAGCTTGCCACGAAAGCAACTCATTCAGGTAAACTGCGGTCACTGACAGCTGTGGGAACACGCGTTCCCCGTTTTTCTATCTAGGCCTAGCACGTGCAGGCCGTGGGGACTGCCATGGAGGAGGATTTTCGAATACGGGGCGAGGCCGCATTCTATTAAGGCACGGTGTCCCCCTCACCCTTTTGGGTGAACTTGCCACTGGTTCACCCTTGGGAGGGATCGTGGACGCGACCCACCTCTGGGCTAAGCCACACCACTTACCTCCGGCGCGTCTACCAAACACCAAGATGCCAGCAGCCAGGGGGAGGGGCGGGGGAACTTTTTGTTTATGGTTAATTCATGAAGAACACCACGATGGTTGAAAGAAAATTGAGGGTGCAAGTGAGGTAGTGAATACTAGGCAAAGGTGTTTTATACGTCCCTTTTTTCCGTGTTTCCGGTTTGTTATGCTACCATGATAGTGCGCTTTTGACGCCCTCTGACTGGTCGCACCCCGAGTTTCTTTGTCCGTCCTGGACTTTACACAAATAAATGAAATAAACAAAGGTCTGCGAGTTTATTTTCTTGGAGGCTATATAATTAAATCATATTACGGCGGAAACTATAAGGATTCCAGCGAATGACCAGCTCAAAATAAGATTGGAACAAAAAGTGAGATGTCTGCCAGGACAATGAGAACGACGTTTTATTTGTTAATTTTCAATGCGCACAACGCAAGTTTAAGATCTGCGTAGACAGTGAGGAGCGCAAGTTTTCCGCCTCATGCGCAACGGTTGCGATGACGTCTGATTGGTTCTGATTTGAAGGGTATAGTGGGTCGACCTCAAGGTAGCTAGCATTGAGGTTGACCCACTATCCAGCCAATCAGAGCGTGACACTCTCATGTCAACGCAACCCCTGCGCAAGGAGTGGACGAACTTCAGCTCTGCACAGTCACTGACAATTCAAAAACGACAGGGTGTAAAGACTATCTCATAGTCACTCCGAAGCCGATTAGATTGCAGCATTAGCTGATAAGTAAACTTAGGTTTAAAGACTATCGTCGTATTATCAGCTTTGTCGTTCGTTGAGGCCCTTGTATACTGTTCATTGTGATGTCTCCGTGTTCTGCAGAAAAGTGAACTTACATAAATTTTCCAGAGTGCAGACATACTGGATTTAATTGAAAAACGAGTAGCACGTCAGAGAAACGCCTAACTCGGCACAAGCTTGGGAATCCTATAGGGCCTAAACTGGGCCGAGTACGGTTTTACTCTGAGCCGTTAGTTACAGTGCCGGAGCATTTTTCTTAGGCGTTTGTGTGGCTTTCCTCTGGCTCGCCACATAACTGCTAAAGCCTCATACTTGAAAAAGAGATGTCACGTATGAATCAAAGAACCAGCAGTGAAGTTTAAATCTGCCACTTATTTCGAAATATAGGCCCAATGTTGTCACATAAAACAACGAAAAACCAAGAGCCCAACTCGGACACCCATTTGGCGATGTAGTTTCAAAGATGCCATGTGACAGTCAAACTACCAGCAGTGAACTTTCACATTGGTTTGGCAAATGACGGTCGAGATACCAGGATTCTGGACAAAGAATGCCAAGCTTGGCTTTACCTTGACCCCTCCGCGCCTTTTAAGGTCCTAAATTCCCAGAGAAAACCCAAAATTTTCTCCCAAAACTCCGGTACCATGGGAAAGTTCTTTCAGGAGCACGCGTCTACGACTAATTAGAAGTACGAAGCGGGTACAAACCTTTTCTCCGACCTCTGTGAGGTCTCTGGCAGGAAACGTGCTGATGTCCTCACAAAGCTGACAGGCCTCGAGCACGCGTGCATAGTCCTCGTCATTGAAGGGTTGCCCGTACAAGATGTTGTCTCTCACGCTCATGTTGTGCACGTTGGCGATCTGTGGAACGTAGGCCACGCGGCCCTGGAAGCAACAGCGCTTATAAGTTATAGGGTTCCGTGTTTTCAGTGTATACCGATAAACACCGAAAAATGACCACGAGGCTGCCCCTTTCCCCAGAACCACGCCCATTGTCTAGTTTCCTTCCGGTTTCCTTCTGATATCGGTATGAGGGCGTTTTCTGAGTAACCGGGTCACCCGTACACTCCCTGGAGGTTGGGGCAATATTATGCACGTGTCTATATTTCCTTCAACTGTAGGCCTTGATAAACCTCAATTTCTCGCCCGATACAAAAAAAAATCAATATGGAATATGAAAAAACACCGAATCTCTAGAGAAAAAATATACTCCATGAAAACACTTATAAATTCGAAGAATAATAAACACCCCAAAAACAGAACCCTACTCAGCGTAACCCTACCTATGAGCAAAGTTACTTTTTCTTTTTGTATATACGAGGGGTAATCAATACTTGTTGCCTCCTCGACTGTAACCTTTTTTTCTGTTTAGTGATGGAATTGAAAGATATTAGGTTGTAATGAATTCTTCGAATGTCCTCTTTCGCAGGAGCACGTAACTTTTAACTATAGTCCCCACGACGGCAATGTACTTCCGTTATTGGTGCACTATATCTCCGCATGCCGTCGTAGATGACTGAGGGTGACTTTTGACGAGACCAACGTCGCGTTGGAGGAACTGCAGTTCCAAGGTGTTTTGCCTTATTCACCTTACAGCCCGAACCTCGCGACATCTGACTTTTGACTGTTTTCCAAGATAAAGGAACATCTAAAAGGTACACGGTTTGCGTCCGACGACAAGGTTACCTATGCAGTGCGTCGCTAGTGTCGTCAGCAGCCGCGTTAATCATTTATGACGGCATCCGGACAGTAGTTCACAGGTAGCGGAAGCGCATCGCGGCCGGTAATGACTGCATTGAAAAGTTATGTACTCTCGCGAAAGGGGAGACTGCAAGCTTTTATTCAAATATAACATATTTTAATTAGATCACCGAATAAAAACGTTACACCCTATAGGCGGCAAAACTTATTGATCACTTCTCGCGCACATAAACCCCTAAACACTAGACCCCGGGGCCGGCTTTATGAAAATCGGGTAACAATTCTCATCACTCCAGTAACAAGCTGCTGGCCACACACCGTGCACTTGATTGCGCCGCCGAAGACGTGCATGTCGCCTAGGATTCCAGCCAGGAGCGACGACTTTCCACTGCCCACGAACCCGACGACGCCGATCAGCGACCCGGGTTGGACCTCCAAGTTGACGTTGTTGAGGGCCGCCACTGTTTTGTTGTTTTCATGTTTGCTCCAGGACAAAGAGCAGTTCCTCAAGGTCACCTCTCCTGTAAGACGTGAGCTCCAGTGTTATGTCTACACTCCGTACTATCTGCAAGCCGGCTCTGAAAGGTGAGAACGGCAGAGAGGAGTTGTCCCTCCTCCGGCTCGAGCTTCATACCTTCGTCAAAGCATCTCGTGCCCCTCAAGCGCGTGCGCGCGGTGCCGAATAACGGCGGAAGGCAAGGAGCGCGTGCTGGAAGCAGAGCGTTCCAGAGACACGCCCTGCCATTCTTCTTCTCTAGGTGAGAATAATTATTCTCACTGAGAGAATTATTATTCTTATTCTTTTTAAATCCTTATTCTCTCAGTGAGAACATGTCTCGAGCGTTTGCACAACAATGAATGGCGGTTTAGAAGGGCTTTACTTATCGATGGCTCTCCGCCCCGCTATAGTCCATCGCAGCTCCACATGCTGAATCACCGAGTCTCTTTCGCAAGCGCGATCGTCACACCTCCCCCTTGTAGCCCACCATAGCATGGACAACTGCGAAATCTGTGCAAGCGCGAGCGAATAGCCTTCACTGCCTTGACTGAAGCACTCGCTGCACAAGCGCTCGTGCAGCTGCCGAGGCTTCAACTATATTCCGTTCACGGAAACAAAAGGTTTGTACCTATTTATTTGTTTAGATGGGGTTCATGTTGTTCCGGCCAACGTTACTGGAGCCAACGTTACTGGACCAGTAACGTTGGTTCCGGAAGCCCGTATACTTGCCTAACCAATGTTTCTGGACTGCCGGCGGAGAAGTCAAGAAAACTAATTTTAAAACAAATTAACAGATTTTAAAACTCCGTCTGGTGCGGTCTGTGAAGCACCGTTGAAATGCCGCCACGTCATGAGTTCCCAAGAACCAGCGCCACTTGGCGGCATTATGGCTCGCACGTGGACTTGGTAAGTCCTGAATGTGACTTGGCGGAGAACGGTGGCGCGTTTACTTCGTTGCTTATGTTAAAGCTCACACAGTGTTTCCGCAACGTGCATTCCACACCATCAAGATCGCCGTTCTTACCAGACGATAGGGAGGAGCTTGATTTGAGGATGCGGGGACCTCTGCCAAACCAACCATCCCTTACAAAAAAAAAAATTATATCTGGCCAGTTCTGAAGATTTCAGATAAGCCATATAAAAAAATTGGCCACATATAACCTGATATTATATATCTGCCAGATATAGCCTCATAATGCCAGATATAGCCTGATATCCCAGGTATGGAAATCCCAGATCTGGCTAAGTAAAGAAATTCCAGATCTGGCAAGGCATATCAAAAGGACACAAGCCTGAAATCAGCCCTTCATATATTTTTAATGTCTACCATATGCCTTCCCCCTTTCCCGGTGAACAGCGCGCTCAAATATGGCACCCAGTGAATACATAGCTTGCAGGCGTCGCCACTGCCGGGTATTGACGATTATTTCTACTTCCTGGTTCCCTCGAGCTACTGCTACTGGGGTGTGAAACTAACAAGGTGAACTGAACTCTCGTGGCATACCGGGCCGCGGACCGATTGATCACGTGATGCGTGGCCCGCGGGCCGCCCGGCTGCAAAGAGCATCCACACGGCGGACCAAAAGAGCAGACGACAGAGTGAACGAGCCGGTTTAACCCTCGGCCTCACAGCTCCGCCAAACGCATGCAGCGAGCTGCTTTGAGGCTATTTGTAAGGAGCCAAGATGGAGGTTGAACGAAAGAGACGTTTGGCCGCGGTGGCCCTGGTGTTGACTATTGAGGATGAGGAGGACTTAAGTGAACCGAAAAGGGCATGCATCTATTGTCCCACAGAGCGGGGAATCGCTCCACGAGCGCGATAAAGTAAAAAGTTGCATCGTCGCACCATGCCGCCATCGTCGCACAACAAAAGGTTCGTCTTCTTCGTCTTCAACAGTTGGCGCCACTGATCTCTATGTCTATTTCCTGGGGTGCTATGCTGCGCTTTTTGGACTCCCAGGAGACTAGGGAGAGGGAAGTGACGTCAACAACGCAGCAAATGCAGATTGGATGTTGATTTTGTTTTCTCTGTCAACATCCAATCTGCGTTTGCTGTATAGCTGACGTCACTTCCTTCTTCCAAGTCTCCTGGGAGTGCAAAAAGCGCAACATAGCCCCGCGGGATCGCGTTTGAGCAGCTCCGCCTATGGACCGAAATGCGGTCACTGGCGGCCATCTTTAGGTAGAGTTATATCATCTCTAGCCATCATAGTAATATGGCGGACGGCGCAATGGCGGCCGGGTGCCATAAAATAGCCGTGGGTCTAGTACACTGTACCATGGGAGATATTTCGTGCTTGATTCAAGCTGTTCGACGACGCAGTTTCTTGAAACCCGGCGTGAACGGTAGCCTCATCTTTGAGGACCCGGAGAAAGTTCTACGAAAGCGCAGCACCAGGGGAAAGCAGCACAGCTCGCATCGAAAGCAGACTCCGTACCGGCGTCTGCTTTTGATGCTAATTTTGATGCGACTTTTGATGCGAGCTGTGCTGCTTTCCCCCCCCGTGCTGCGATTTCGTGAAACTTTCACCGGGTCCTCAAAGATCGCGCTACCGTTCACGCTGGGTTTCAAAAACATGTTTCGTCAAACAATTTCAATCAAGCACGAAATATCATCCACCCTATTCTGACGGCAGCCTGCCACCACACCTGCCAAAACGCTGTCCGCCATGGATGGATTACAGTGGCTGCAGGAGCGGTACCTTGGCTAGAGGTAATATAACTCTACCTAAAGATGGCCGCCAGTGAGCGCATTCGCAGAGCGGGCAAACGCGATCCAGCACTTGTCATTGAGATCAGTGGTTGGCGCCAAAAGAACACGACTTTGGATTTGGATTCCAATCCAAACAACTAAAGTCAGCTTGTTGCCAGACTTAGCACTTCAATTACACTAAAAACGCCGCGGTCCGCCGCCAAGGTCCGGGCGAGAAAAGTCTCTTGGCATTTCTCACAAGCGCGGGCCGCGGACCGCCGGCGGACCTCGAAAACCGGTGACGTAAGATCACGTGATGCGCGGCCCGCGGACCAAAACAGCATTTTAGTCCGTCGTGTGGATACACCTTTATGGTGTATCCACACGACGGACCGGGCCGCGGACCGATTGATCACGTGATGCGCGGCCCGCGGGCCGCCCGGCTGCAATGAGCATCCGCACGGCGGACCAAAAGAGCAGACGACAGAGTGAACGGGCCGGTTTAGCCTTCAACCTCACAGCTCCGCCAAAAGCATGCAACGAGCTGCTTTGAGGCTATTTGTAGGAGCCAAGATGGAGGTTGAACGAAAGAGACATTTGGCCGCGGTGGCCCTGGCGTTGACTATTGACTACGAGGAGGACTTAAGTGAACCGAAAAGGGCATGCATCTATTCTCCCAGAGAGCGGGGAATTGCTCCACGAGCGCGATGAAGTAAAAAGTTGCATCGTCGCACCATGCCGCCATCGTCGCACAACAAAAGGTTCGTCTTCTTCGTCTTCAACAATTGGCGCCAAAAGAACACGACTTTGGATTTGGATTCCAATCTAAACAACGAAAGTCAGCTTATTGCCAGACTTAGCACTTCAATTATACTAAAAACGCCGCGGTCCGCCGCCAAGGTCCGGGCGAGAAAAGCGCTTGGCATTTCTCACAAGCGCGGGCCGCGGACCACTGGCGGACCTCGAAAAGCGGTGACGTAAGATCACATGATGCGCGGCCCGCGGACCAAAACAGCAATTTGGTCCGTCGTGTGGATACACCTTTACCGGCATGGCCGCGAATCACGTTACGGGCAAGCTATGTACACGGTTTTTCCACAAGGGCGCATCCATCTTGAGTGTCGTCACTTCCGGTATGCAATAAAACATCGTTTTGATCTGTCCACGCCGCTGGAAGGTGTTCACGAAAAATACGTTATTATCCCACATCCTCGTTTTGTTTCAGCTATATTTCCTCGCATATTCGAAGTTGAAATGTTTCCTTGTTTTTTCGTCCCGTATACCAGATACGGAACCCACGTGACTGAGGACGACAGGGAACAGAAAACGACCACATTCGGTGGGAGTTGATACCACGAGGGCGCCACAGTATTTGGTGCCCCAGTAGACTTCCGGTAATATATTTATTTATTCTTCAGCAACGCAGAGCTGTCGGGTAAGAAGAGTTTCCTTCAGAGAAGTTTTTGTAGTAGGTTTGTAAGAACATCAGTGCATTGTACAAAGTAATGCAAATAACAAAAGGATAAGAGACAAATGGAAAAGAAGAAGAAAACCGGAAGCGCGCAGGGGTCCGCCGATAGGGGGTGGTAGTGAGCTTGTTTGCAAACAAACGATTGCAAGCAGGGCGACTGGCTGACCCATGTCTCTGCTGGTCCCTGTAAGCCCGTGAAATGGTAAGCTTGCCAAACCAATGATCACGCGCACGCTGCAGGGGCTTGCACGCATGGGGCACCAATTGAGACGGTATGCATATAAATGTCTATTCGCCTCGAGATTCAGATTGAATTTAGGGGAAGCGCGCTCTTGTTTACCCATACTTCTCTACGACGTACCTGGTGAGTATACCTCTGACCACAATAGGGAGTATTCACTGGCGGCCATAGCCGTGTGCGCGACTGCCGAGCCCGTGCTCATGGCGAGCTTCCACAGTTCTTTTGCAACGTGCATTCCGTACCATCAAGAGTGCCGGTCTTAGCAGCCTATTGATAAGAGCTCATTCTGAGCATGCGTTCTAAACAGCACCCACAAATATGGCGTCCAGTGAATACTCCTTATACGGGAGGCCACAAAGCATCCACACTCACGCCGCAGAGTGCGGGCAAGGGTACAGAGCACGAGCTCTTTGCAGTTGATTCCTGTGAGCGAGCGCTGCACTGGCGCCTCGAAGGCTTTGGCCTCGCGCGCGTAGTATTCGTTTACCTTTAAGCATATAAGTGCAAAACAAAGCGTACTTCTGCTTTTCACTACATGAGCCGTGCCAATCGAATCATCGAGGCGACTAGGCCATAGAGAGCACGCGATCCTCGGATATTACTACTATAGCGAGATTGTCACGCGTCGACGCCACCAAGGTGCAAGGGTCGCAACTACAGTTTTCCTTGGCCGCGCATGAACGAGTGACATCACGAGAGCGATACACATTGCTCTTCAAGCTGGCCGACATTAGGGACATTCAGCAAACCGTTGCCGTACTCCGCGTACCGAACTACCGGAGCCTTTGAAGAATGCTTTTAAGCGCACGCCCGGGAAACGAGAGGGCGAACGAGGCCGCGAGGGCGCAGCTAAACGCATGTACCCTGCCCTCGCAAGACCACGATCCCCTCCTCGCACCTAAAGAACAAGACGAAAGGCATACCACCTGACCCAGACGAGATAAAAAGAGAGGAGCGACTTGCCCGAAAACTCAGGCTCATCTCACTTCTTCCGCCAAATTCTTATCCGATCCAGCTGGAATACAACCGGTGGGAGGAGGTAAGCATCAGGCGGCTCCAAACAAATACGGCCATCACGCCCATTTGGCAGGCTAGATCTTATAAGCCTACAGACCCGAACGACCCAGGCATTGACCCCAACCGCGAATACTGCGGTGTCCCGGTGACATGTTTCCACCTCGTGTGGAACTGCGTTGAAAGCTTTTGGTATCGCGAAGCAGCTTGGAAGAAGCTTCCCCCACAGGCAAGAAGACCCACAACGTATGAAGAGTGGACCCTTCCGGACCTCGCAAACCAGCACAGGGGGCACATCCTTGTCTCCCTGTTAGACTTTCTCCGTCTTTCAGGGGTGGCGAGGCACGTATGGCTCCCTTTCCCCTTTCCTTTCCCGTCGACGTCACTCCAGATGACGCTATTCAAGAGGATGTGACGAACCCCTTTGTACATATAATAAATACGTTTCGTATATATATACATGCGCTCTAGACATCGCCCACAAATATGGCGCCCAGTGAATACTCCTTATTGAAGCGAGGGGTACAGAGCTCGCGCTCTCGTCATTTCGTTCCCGTACCCCTAGAAGCTCCGTTTGCTGATTTTGCTAACACAAGTGTGAACGAGCAAGCACGCGCAACCAAGGCACTGCGGAAGCCAGCGAGCTCGCGCTGAAGGGGGAGCATCTAGTCTCAGATTAAGGGCGCACACTGCTAGCGTGCGCGGCTAACAATAGTCCATGCTAAGGTGACACCAAGTATTTGCGTGAGAAGCTCACTAGAGGCGTTTCTGTTTTCCTCATTCTGGGTAGTGCACTTGCTACCCGCGCGGTTAGGCTTTAATTTTCATAGTGCATAGAAACTTGCCATTGTACGTGCTTGCAGCAGCAGAGGAAGTTGAAGTATCCCCACTTTGGGTTGTGAAACAATTGCACTAGGCGACGATACCTACACTTTTCGCCGTGTTTCGCCGTGAGTAACGACCCTGGAAGCGTTTCCTGCTTATTAAGAAAAAAAAAAAAAAATAGCCACGTGTCACTTGAATATTTTCATGAAGACGTAAGACCTCGTGGAGCCCTTAAGAGTTGTACCCGAACCAAAGCGTTGGGCCAGCCTATTCCTAAACTTTCCATTATCTCTCCGCAGCCCATCAGATTGCGGGTTTATGCCATAAGAACGTCGAAGAACGAATCGAGAACAAATGCGCGTGAAGGTAGCAAGTCACGCCCTGCGTTTCTTGGGATGTCAGCGTCTATGCGGAGCGAAAGTTCGTTTGCTTCTTGCGCAGGGGTCATGGTGACGTTAAAACGCCGAGCTCCCATTGGCTCCGATTGGAAGGATAGAGGGTAAATCTCAAGCCGGCTAGCACTGAGGTCTAACCGCTATCTTTTCAGATCAGAGCCAATCAGACCTCGGCATTCTGACGTCAGTGCAACCCCTGCGGAAGAAGCAGACGACCTTGTGCTCCGCATAGGTATTGTTGTACAACTGTACCTTTTGTGTCTCCCGGTACCTTGTGGTCGTCGCTGCGGCCGCTGCGGTCCCCCATCTCTTCCTCGGTGCAGAACTTCACAATCCGTCGGATTGAGAGTGATATCTGCGAGGGTAACAGGAGCAGATCTGGTGCGATCGGTCAGCGGAATATTGGCTTAGCGTGACAAAAGCGCACCGCACAACTTGAAAACGAGGGTATGAGAAAATCTTGTTTCGCACTGCGTGTAAGGCAGTATCTTTCTTTGAAGTCACTGACACTTTAAGAAATTAAGAAACGCAGAACGAGACGGGCCCTGGAGATCTTGTTATTACTCCGAAGCCAAGGAGGTTGCGAAATGAGCAGACAAAAACTCCAAGGAACTAGTCACGAATCAAGAAGCATGATGACGATATGTTACGTTTTACTTTTCTTAAGTTGTCGGTGACTATAGTGCCTTATAGTAGGGCTTGATTGAGGAACGGTGAAGTCCTCCTGCAGGAACGTGCGCTCGCATACCTCTTTTGAGAGTGCGAGTGCTTCTCCAGGGAATGCGGTGCGCAAGTACGTCTGCCCGTTTTTCAGGAATTGTGGTGACGTCAGAACGCCAAGCTTTGATTGACTCAGAAGGGAAAGGTAGTGGGTAGACTTCAAAGTAAGCTGCCTTGACGTCTTCGCACTATTCTTCAATCAGAGCCAATCAGAGCACGGCGTTCTGTCGTCGCTGCAACCACTGCAAAGGAAGCAGACGAACTTGCCCTCCACATTGGGTTACCTGGACCTAGTCAACAGACACTCGAGCAGTTTTGATTGTGCGGAGGTGCAGCATCTAACGGAAGATCACCTGACTTCGGGTGCGCAGCGCCCAGCACATCTGTGCCATGGTGACGTCCGTCATGTACACCAGGTAGACCGAACTGAACGAGGCCGCGACTGTCAGACCGTGCCCCTGGTCGGAGGTGGCCAGCACGCCGAATAGTATGATGATCAGCTGCGAAATGTCACACAACGGTTGCAGCATCAAAACCGTAACAAAATGATCGTCACAAGTTTTCCTGTTTTGTCACTAAATTGACAACAAAAAATTAATAAGAATTTTAGCACAGCTCACTAACCTTAAGCTACGGTCGCACTTCTAATACACCATACAAAAGACAGTCTGCAAACACTGTCTAAGATGTGCTTCTTTCTTGGAAAATAGCCCGGTCACACTGGTCATACAAACATTGTCTGCGAACATTTTAAAGCATACTATATATGTATATGAATTAAGCATGCTTCAGACATGTTACCAGCTTGTGCGCAGATCACTCTATTATATGTGCAGCGAACACGATGTCCTTTGTTTGTATGATGTTTGAGCAGTGTGGCTGCGGCTTTATCCTTCCTTTCGCTGTTGGTACTTGTAATAAATCACCAACTCGCCCAATCTTTCATACATATCTGCCTGTGCTTTGCTAATATGACACACCACAGAGCTGGAAGCGCTGTAGACAGAGTCGATGATTCCGTCCAGCGCGTTGACCCAGAAGAGCGGCTTCATCTCCACGTCCCTGGCGCGCAGCAGCTTTTCCTGGTATGCCTCTTCCCAGGCGTACATCTTCACCAGGCGCACGGAAGACAGCAGGTCCGAGGTCTGCTTGAGACGCTCGTCACGGGCGCTCATTTGGCGTCGCTATAAATCAGAAGGGTGTTTCATCTTACGAATGCGGGAGTTCCGCTTTTATTCTTTAGAAACGGATATCTATGGTTCAGGAAATATACGCAGACCGGGAATGGGCCGGACTACCGATATATGGCGCCAGGGTGCTACTTTGCTGCACTGGCTAGGTGGAGTAAGCAATGGCTAGGTGGCGTAAGCTACCGCCCGATCCAGAGGGCTCAGCCGGATTCATCCATCCATCCGTAAACAGCCGCACTCATACGCGTATGCCTGATACTACCTTAAAAGTGCCGCAGATATGTCTTCTATAGGTAAACGTTAAGCTGCGATCACAGTGCTAATGCATAACAGAGAACAGAATCTGCAGACAGTAGAGAGTTTTGGGAAACCGTTTTTACCCATCGGATACTGTACGATGCGCCCTCCGGTACGAACTGTGCATGTGAGAGTCTTCTGCGTTAACACATGCACACTTCGTGCCGGAGGGCCCATCGTACCGTATCGGATGTGCAAAAAAAAAAAAAAAAGATGAAAGATGTTTACAAATCTCTGTAATGCGAACTTAGAGCGCAGCTCTTGAGGAGGAGGAGGGGAGGATATGGATATGGAGGGGAGGGTATGCCCCTCCTGCTTCTCGGTACCCATTCCTCCTCCTCTCCTTTTCTCCTCCTCCTCCTCTCCTCCTCCTCCCCTCTCCCCTATTCCTCTCCTATTTTTTATATATACAGTAATGTCGTTGATACGGACCTTTTAATATGGATACCCGGCTATAAGAACACGATCTTCGGGAACAAACTGGGAAAATACGTGCATTTTTAGCTCGTTATTATGGAAAATTTACATTAGGGACGATTTTCTTGGGTAACGGAGGTATCCAGATTTACAAGATATCACCGGATATACAGGGTGTTCCCGAGCGATGTCCAAGCGTAAATTGAACCACATAAATCGCCCAATAAATTGAGCGCAATGAAAATATTCACAAAGGTGCGCGTTGGTTGCGCGTTTATCATACTCAAATTTCGTAAGTGTAGGTTTCCAGAAACCAAAATGAGAAAGAAATAACGCTATATCTCTATTCACGAGGGGGGGGGGGGGGGGGGGGGGGGCATGTCAGCAAATAGTCTGCTTGATGCTGCCACTCACAGATGGCGCCACCATACCTGAAGAGGTTATCCGTGTGAAACGTGGAGGTGCTCCTTGAGTGGTTGAGGAATAATCAGGTGACAATAGGGGTTTTTCGTAAACCGCGTTTCCCCTTCCACTAAACCCCCCGCAACGAAGAAGACGCTACGGCGCCTGCGCGCCGATGGCCTCGACTGTAGAGGTCAGGGTATTGTAGCGGGTTGCGGAGAGCGTTGCGGGACGGTGAAAACCATGTATAAAAACTCCCTATTTATATGGGAAGGCGAACATATACCACCGATAGTCGTGCGCAAAGTCTTAGGCAGAGGTGCCCGTTGTCACCACTACTGTTTATGGCATATTTGCATGGATTAAAACATACGCTAAATAAGAGCGGCAATGGGTATGGCCTTTTCTACTTCAGGCCGGAAGAAAGGGTTAAACAGGTGATTCCGAGATGAATGTACGCCGATGATATCGCTTTGATGGCAAACAACAGCAGAGATATGCAGGAACTGATGGCAAAATACGGTCACTAAAGTGACGAGACTGGAATTTAGTGTAGAAAAGTCAGGAATTACGGTTTATAACAACACGCAGGACAACCCCCTATATATACAACGATTTAAGGTCTTGAGAGTAGAGAGCAATACAAGTATTTGGGAGTGCGATTAAACGAGGGCACTCAGTACCTCCAGGAACATGAAAAATATCTGACAATTAAAGGCAACAGGAATGCATCAGTAACGATTAAACGAGCATTATAGAATTAAAACAGTTAAAAGGTAGTGAAAGGTATCTGGAAGGGGGCTATGGTGCCTGGTTTAATATTTGAAAATGCTGTCTTGCGCATGACGCCGGAGGTGAGGTCAATACTGGAAGTCAGACGGTGTGGCGTAGGCAGGTTGGCACTAGGAGCCCTCAGAAAACCCCTAATGAAGGTGTGCTGGGAAATATGGGTTGGCTGTCGTTCGAAGCAAAGGAGGCAAATAGCAAACTGCAATTTAAGAGACTGCTGCAAAAGATCGATGAGGAGAGATTGACGGGCAGAATATTTAGGATCCTACATTTGAGCAGCCTGGACACAAGATAGAGAAAACGAACCCGACGACTCGCGTCAAGGTACTGGTGTAACACCGAGGAAGATGGGCGGGCAGGAACAGTGAAGATTATTGTAATGAAGAGGGAGAGAGAAATGTGTAAGAGAAGAATGCAGAAGAAGCCAGCTTTGGAAAAGTACAGGGCATAGAAAACTGATACTAAAAAAGAAGGAATATATGATAAATCTAGAGGTAGTGCGTTATTGTTTGAGGCTAGGACGGGGGTTTTGAGAACCAGGACGTATATAGGGCCAAATTTCAAGAGGTGGATGCAACATGCACCGTATCTGGGGAGGGTGCCGACATGCCAGGGCATGCCATCAGGGAATGTGGGAGGCTCGGCCACCTATGGACATCACGCGGAGAGGTTGACTTTCTCAGAGCCCTGGGATTCGAGGAGAAAGGTAAACAAACCGTCTTCAAGAAATAGAAATTCGTAAAAGAAGATTAGAGGAATGGTGACGAAAATCAAGGGACGGATAGATTGAATTAGATTAAATTGAGGTAGTCAAATCCAATGTTAAACTAAAATACTACTTGGCTAGGTGGCCGAAATCACCGCCTGATTCAAAGGGAATAACCCCCATCTATCCATCAAATCCACCCAGGTCGCATTCAGCCACTGTCGCACTGACGTGACGAAGTGCGCGGGCGCACCATCCTGCTGAAATGTGCACACTTTTTTTTTTTTTTTTTTTGCATATCGTATGCTTTTAGTTTCGAGAGTACTTGCCTCTGTAACATTAGAAGGTAGGCTTCGGCGCTCACATTCTCCGAGCAAAAGAGGGGGCCAACAATCCCTTCTCTATACACCACACCACACTATAACCTTTAGTGAATGTGCCGTGTGTTCCACCAACCAGTGAGGGTTGTTTCCGGCCCAAAAACAATAGCTTTGGAGGTTCACTTGACGGTCGAGATTAAAAACAGCCTCGTCCATGAACAAAATGAAAGAGAGATGCCCCGGAGTGGTTGTCATTCGCTGCAATTCGTCTCGGCAGAATGCCAATCAACCGGTTTTATCCTCGGTGCCCGGTTCTTGGGGGACTAGGGGCTTGTAAGGATACAGGCCATGACGCCGTAGAACTTTCCAGACGAATGTCTTCGGTACATCGAATAAACTTGCGGCTCGTTTAAGTGAGAGATGAGGGTCTGCTTCAAATGCACCAATGATGGCGAAACTCAGTTCTTTCTTTGAGCCTTTTTTTTTCCTTAGCCTGTCTCTTGTTGCTGAAAATTTCCACGACTCATTATACCAGTACCGTACCAGTGTATGCTGCTCAGAAGTAAGCTTGAGCATATAAAAATAATGATAAAAGGAGCCTTAACTTTAGAAAACACGAAAACTCTGGAGTAGGGGGCGAGCACCAGAAACGAGCCGTAGTAACAAAGCAGACGATAACATGGTCGTTTTCGGCGACGACGTTTGCTTTGCCATGTTGCAGAACGAATCCTTCTTTTTTTAATTCAGTCTAAAGGCCCGTTCACACTCTTGCGACCTCTTAAAACTGGGTGCCTTGAAACATCTTAATATCTCTTAAAAAAAGGGACACAGAGGCGCCATCTATTGAGTAGCAGTGTCAGCTTGGCCGGTCCGGCACATTTTCTATTTCTCTCGCGCATTATCCTTTCTTTCTTGGCTTGAAAAGCTTTTGCCAACGTTATAAACGAGCCTTTTTTATATGTATTACGCACATTTGACCTCAGTAATGCCGCAAAATCTTCGCTCTTGTGAAATGCAGTTCCACGATCACCGCATAGATGGCGCCAGAGTGACAGTGTGTTCCCTCGTCCTAAGAAATTTTAAGAGGTTTCAACAGGTCTCGTCTCTCTCGGTCGTACTCGGTTGCAAGAGTGTGAACGGGCCTTTAGTATCACTTCTCGAACTTGCAATAAGTAAAGTTTAAAACATGGAATTACTATTTGAAACAGAAACTTGGAAGTTTCCTTGTATTGAACACCCGAAAACAGATAGTCTGTGCTTCAAAAGTGCGGCGCCGATGTTGGCGCCATCTCTGAGTGGCAGCATCAAGCTGTCTGTTTGTTTGCCTGTTTGTTTTTTGTGCCGAGAGATATAGCGTTTTTTATTTCTTGTTTTGTTTCTGGAAACTTATACTAACGAAATTTGAGTGTGATAAATGTACCAACTAAAGACACTTTCGCGAAGAGTTTCATTGCGCTCATTTTATTGGCTGAATTATGCGACTCATTTTACGCTCAAACATTGCTCGGGAACGCCCTGTATAGGAGCAGTGTGATTGTTTACAGTGGGCTACAGTTACGGCAGCGTCGAGGAAACGAGAAACGCTTAGTGAGATCGGCCCATTCACTTACCCAGAGGGCGTTCTGTATTCTCGTGGCGGGTATGGAGACCAGGAACACGCAAAGAAGGTAGGCGGTGCAACAAAGCGTAACCTTAGTGCCTGTCCGCTGGACGAGGAGATAGAGCAGAATGGGCATGCACAGGAGGCCTCCGGCGGGATACGGGAACATGTAGACGCTCATCGACAGCTGGAAACAGTCCACTCCGAGCATGGACAGCACGTGACCCGTCGAGACGGCAGCTCTAGCCGTGGGAGACAGCTGTGTCATCTGGATGGGCGAAATTAGTCAAAGATGACACGTGAAGCCCACCGTAAAGGGAGCGAGGGCGAGAGAGAAAAGGGGAAAGGGCTACCGGCGTTTTCCCCTTTTCCCCTTTTCCCTGTTAGAAACATGAAAGTCCCGGAGGAGAGGCTTGGCCGGTGTTGGGTGTCTGCAGTGCCTGAGCTTTGTTCACGCTTTCTTTTCTGTTTTAAACTCGCAACCTTAATTAAAGCCACGGGCTTCGGTGGCGACAGCCCCCTGGTCACCGGGACACCATTGCTCGGTCATAGGGTGCACCAATAACGACAGAAACCGTCGAATGCTGTTTGAGAACCTATGTAGCTTGCGAGAAATCCGGCAAGGCGGGAGCGGCTGCAATGTCTTTAAGCTCCATCGCTTTCCACATGACCCCGGTCTCCGGTGGCTGTGGATTACGTCCGTAAACCGAAAAGACGCTTCCTCAACGCCATCCTCTCGACTGTGCTCGGAAGATTTTGTGTATGGAGCGCGCACCGAACGCTGTACCGTTGATGAACATGGGGAACACTCGCAAGGTGCGTGCGAGTTTTCTCATGATAATTGCTGTTTCAGCTTGTAAATTTTGTAACTCAAGTTATCTTAATATTGATAATTTGCGGTGGTGACTGAAACAATCTTATTATCTACAACACTTAGTTGAAGGCTCATCTCCGCCCCCAGGTGAGGCTGGAAATTGTTGAATGTTCTATCGGTTTTTCTGAATCGCGAACTCCTGCACGATACCAGAGAGCCGGCAAAAGCGCTCTTTGGCGTGTCGCTGGTGGGTTTTTTTTTTTTTTTTTTTGCCGTTGATTGGGCGGTTTGAAGCTCTGGATAGTCGTTGAAAGGTACGTCTCGTGTGTTGCGGTCTCTGTTTTCTAGTCCAGTGCGCACGTTTCCTTGTTCGAGTCATGGCATCCGCCAGTGCGGCGACGGGGGGAACAGCGGCAGCGAACGTGCCAGCGAGAGAAATTGGAGGTGAGTACTCAAAATATTGCATCAAATAGTAAAATAATTCCTGGCTGCTTTGAGGCTTTCTGCTGCTCGATATAAGTACATCTAGAGCGTCTTCGTCGTTTCTCCACAAGGAAATATAAGAACACGGACACGCAAGATAAAAGCAACGCAGAAAAACGATCTGTGGCAGTTCAGGGTGTTTACAAACGTTAATTGAGGTTCCCGTGGCGTGTATCGCTTGTTGATTACTAAAAACGGCCACGTTGAAATAGACCCATTGCAAGCGAAAATTGATAAATGGTTCATTATTTACAGTCATCCGGAAAGCGATGGAGCTTAAAATCATTGCAACCGCACTCGCCTTGCCGGATTCCATGCAAGCTACATAAGCCCTCGGACAGTATTCGTCATTCCTGCACCCTCTCACCCAGCAATGGTGTGCCGATGACCGGGGGACTGTCGCCATCGAAGACCATGGCTCTAATTAAGTTTGGGAGTTTGAAACAGAGGACAAAGCGCGAACGAAGTTCGGGCACTGCATCGGCCAAGCCTCTCCTCCGGGACTTTCACTCTTTCAACAGAACCACCAAAGCGGAAAGCACCGGTAGCGCTTTCCCCTTTTTTGTCTCGCTCTCGAAATGGCGCTACCCACGATAAAACGGTCTATAGACCAACACGCGGCTCTGACGTCACGCAGCTGCGGTGGCGCTGTGGACGGCGCTGCGTATGCGCAGACGCTTCAAGTCACGCGAATTCGGTTTCTGAGCATGCGCAGTGCCTACACCTGGTGGGGACAAATGCGAGCTTGTTTGTAAACAACTTGTCGGTCTATACACGTTTGCAAGTCCGGCTTCAGGGCGCTGCCATCTTGCCTGTCTGGGGTGCGCTTGGACCAGTCATAATCCGATTACGAAGCCTTGCTAAGGCGTCGTAATCTGATTATGGCCGCTCCCGAGAGCGCACCCCACTGAGGAAGATGGCGGCGCCCTGAGACCGGACTTGCAAACGTGTTGAACACACTGCTTACAAACAAGCTTGCGTTTGCCCACATCGGGTGAGGGAACTGCACGTACGCAGAAACCGGATTCACGGGAGGCGAAGTATCCGCACATGAGCAGGGACTACAGCAGCGCCACCTCCGTGGCGTGGCGTTAGAAAGTTGAGTTGGTGAATACACGTTTGCAAGTAGGCCGCATGGGTGCCGCCATCTCGCCGCAGGCGTGCGCGTGGCCATGATAAGGCTGCTGAGTGATAATAAAAGGCTTAAAACTTGCCACGCACTTCGTTTCCCAAGGAGTCAGCGATCACATAATATTTTGTCACGGATGGAATGGGGTGGACAAGCGTAAAAATGAAAATAAAGGTTTAATCGGCGACCTTGTGCCAGAAAAATAATAGGAAAAGAACGAGCGGCGTGGAGGCAGCAGCGAGCGTCGAGGCGTAGGCGTGACAGCTGGATAGTGCGAGACTGCGAGAGTGAGTCGGCAAGGTATCTCTAACATTCGGTCTAGAATGTTCGAGCGTCGCATATCCGGGAGACTGACTCGGCTAAGTCATGTTGGCCTACTCGGTTACACTCGGGCTAAGAGTGAACACGAGTCTTCTTGAAGTACGGAGAAGTGTTTCTTCTCGGCCATGCACGCGGCATTATACTCAGCATTTTTAGTGGAGTGGTCGAACCGGAAAAGGGGCATTTGCTTCCGCCTTTGTTCTTTCGTTGTACAAAATACCTTTTGAGGACAATGGGATTTCTAGGCTCTGCCAAGCGTCGCACCATGATCTGAATCCTACAGCCTAGGAAACCTGGAGCGTACACTTTCCCTAAAAGAACTTGGGGAAAACCAATCGGTGCAGTCGACCGAGGGATATTTCGGCGAATTACGTGGCTAGAAATATGTTCAGACCTATTCAGACAGTCTGAGCTCTGGTACTGAGCACGGCGAATCTTTCATGTTCAGTGCGACAGTACGCACAGACAGTTCTTTGAAGTCTAAAGTTTGTAAACATAATATGCGCCTCGTGCTTCGTCGTTCACTTTCCGTAGACTGCAACAATTAGCTCTCCAACAATTCACATTTCTTAGAGTGTAGTCTTGATGAGAACGCTGACTGTTGCGTTCAGCCAGACTCCGTTAGATAGATAACTCTTGATCGCTCACCTTCTTGAATATGGCTGCCTGAAGGACCGCGCGCAAACGACAGCCCATGATGCATGACAATTCGTTCAAGTAAATGCTTGTCAGACATTCTGCCAGGGTTGCCACCAGAAACAATGCCGCCGATGTGATCCGTTCTGACTGCTCAGAAGCGTTTATCAGTTGCCTGGAAGACATGGATCTCATGAAGACTGTGTGTTGGTAATCTTTAGGAAGCACATAGGCCCTAACGCAACATCCTAAAAAATCTGGAGCGTCTGCTTTCCCGTAAGACACCCGAAAGGGTCAATCCCAACAATGTACGAAGGGAACTCGGATGTGGCTTTAAATTTTTTTCAGAACTCTCAGTTTCACAGCGCCGACTGTTTTTTATAGGTCTGGCAGCTTGCTTTGTGATTCGTTCTCCGGTGTTCTTGAGGGCTAATGAAGCAATCTCGTTGGAGTGGTACTGCGGAAGGCAAGTTTGTCTGCTTCTTGCACAGGGGTTTCGGTCACGTCAGAACGCCGAGCGCCGATTGGCAAGAATTGAAGGATAGAGGGTAGGCCTCAAGGCAGCTAGCATTGGGGTCTATCCACTATCCTTTCAATCAGAGCCAACCAGAACGCCGAGTTCTGACGTCATCGCAACTCTTGCGCAAGAAGCAGACGATTTGCTCTCCGTATACACTCCGTGCGACGCGACTGGCGCGCCGCCGCGCGGCCGGTACTGAAGGTAGGCAGTGAGCACCCCAGAGAAAACGAAACCGAAACCACGCCGCGTACGTTGGTACGCGTTGAAGTCGGAGTGGTGCTGTTGCGCTGGGTTCACAACATGAAGTGCTGCCTGTGCTGCGTCATTAAGTGCTTCAATAGTTATGCGTCGTATCTCGTGGAGACAAAGTTTCACAGTTCTTCACCTCGCCGATGTTTTGTGGGACAGCGACAACGATGGAGCCGTGCCGTACGACGCGAGAAATTTGGTGTCCCGATCATGTCTGCCACTGTGTCGGCACGGCTGACATATTCTACACTGTCGCTTTGCGCTCTGCGTTTGTTTTCGTACCAGTAACGCGTACATGTGTCAGCGCCGATGAGACGAACTGAAATGCCATCCCACACTCGCGGGTATGCAGTGCCAATTTCGTTGGAGGAATGCCCTCCAAAGAAGTCTCGTCCCCATCGTACATGTCGATGATATTTCCGGACAAATATGGCACGCAATCTGTACTTCATGAAGAAAGATTTGAACGGTAAAAAAAGTGACAAATATAAATCTAAAGAAAACAACCATGAAACTCGGAATCACTGGAGAATCGGCGTTTGAGTATGGAAGTTTATGTGGAGTGCTTTCTTTCTTGGTTAGCCTCCTTTTGGATGTGGAAACACTGACACCCTGAGTTCTGTAGACAACAATTTTTTTTTTCTCGGCTTTAGAGCCACCTATCGCAAAGTGGTTCGAACTGGAAGTACCGTCCACTGGTCCCTTCCTACCTGTAAAGTGTGCACCTCCCACGATGCGTGGTATTTTCTGACAGCCTTTGACAGTCAAAGCCAGTTCCCATTTAGTTACGCCGCCCAAACTAAATTTCCACCTGGTTTCGCTATGCCAACTATTTTTGTTATAATAAGTGTAGTGCCAAGTGGCGGTCATGTCAAAGTACCTGTGGGCCGAAAATCAGCACCTCGAACAACAGGTTATTACACAACAGCTGACCGCAAAAGCCCTTGGCGGCCAAACCGTGTGCTGGCCGACAACTTCGTTTTCTCGGCTTTGGAACCACCTTTCGTAATGTTGTTTCAATTGGAAGTACAGTCCACTAGTCCCTTCCTACCTCTAAAGTCTCCACCTCCCCCGACCAGTGTTATTCTCTTGACAGCCTTTTCATGGTCAAAACCGGTTCCCATTGAGTTACGCCGCCCAAACCAAATTTTCACCTGGTTTCCCTATGCCACCTTTTTTTTTGTATAATAAGTGCTGTGTCATGTTACTGTCAAGTCCAAGCACCTGTGTGCCCAAATCTGCACTTTGCACAGCCCGCTATAACACAACATTTTGGGTCTAATATTGGATATACCGTACAGCTTTATTTCTTTATTCGTAAGAAACAACTTTCACACCTTCTGTCTTAATGAAACTTGGCACACTTCGTGCAGAAACTTAGTGGACATCTTACTCGCCTCCAATATCATCGTTCCAGCAGTCCTACGTTTACAACGACGAGCGAAATAAATTTCCCACTCAAAGCAATTATGGTGGCGGCCGTCTTGCTTTTCGGAAAATTGCTCCAACTCCTTTTTTGGCCGCAACTAGATAAATTCCCCCGAACTACGACTAAAACTCAATATATAAGAAGAGAAGAACAGCTAAATGGCCCTTCTTAGGTCTGCCCCAGCATTCATGCAACGTCACCCTCAACGTATCGGCTCGAAAAGCAAAAGTTTCGTCCGTGCGCGCTTCCGCCGCCACAGCTTGGCATGCGAAAAGGCGCCGCAGGCTGCTGAACGCGCCTCACGGTCGAACGCCAGCTCCTCCGCTATCGGCGCTGCGCGCGTTTTTCAAAGCGCCCCCTATAGTTCCCGCACGGAGTGTATAGTCACCGACGGTTTAAGAACCCCGTAGCGTGGGAAATCCCAAGCATCTCATTATCGATCGGCAGTCAATGAGATGGCGACATTAGCCAACAAGAACGCCGGAGAGCGAATCATAAGCATTTGAGCGTGAACATCATTGCCACGTCCTAAGCCGCGACTTGTTTTAAAACTTGTTTTAATCGGTGTGTGTGTTTTTTCTTTGTTTTTTTTTTTTTTTTTGCTCCAACTGTTTTCGTTTTACGGTTTATGCATGCGTACATATTTTCTAGGAGCTATACATGGCGGCCGCTACATCTTCCCGAGCTCGTGAAAGATGCGAAACCTAACTCGGCAATGGACGAATTGTTTTGACAATTTTCGTACTTTGATATATGCTATACCATTTTTGTGCACTGTTCGCGGCGGCGGGAAATGTTTGCGCACTCACTCGAGCAATGGGACCTTGACGAAGAGGCAGGTGAAGTAGGCCATGGTGCACAGGGTCATTCGGAAGGTGTCCATCCACAAGACGCGAAGGAGCGCTGCCAAGAAATCGAGGCGCCGCCGGACGTTCTTGCTGGTAAATTTCCCGAGTTGTTAATTGGGAAAAGAAACAAAGCATCAGCGAGTGAGAGCTCTAAAAATGTATGTAGTACGTTTCACTTTAAAGACCGACGATCAGTTCGCGCGTTCCACTCTTCCCTCGCTTCCTCCTCTCCCCCCTTCTACACTGCCCACCGTTGCCGGTTTTCTCCTCCCCCATCGTGAGGAGGGTATTCTGCCTTGCAGAACCTCGAGTCTGGTCGTCGGCCTTTAAGTACGGTCGAAGCCGACGCTACGCTAGGATGGTTAACCATTCAAGCAGCACAAAAAATGCATAGTCACGTCGCTCGTCGCCTTTGTGAATTTGCTATATCTGACTAATGTCACGCGTTTAGAGTGCAGCTTGGTGCATTTACCTCAACATGGAGTAAAGCCGGTCGACGATGTCTCGGCAGCTTAAAATACCACGATGCCGAGGAAGGACTTCATCCGTGGGCTTCCCTCCACTCATCGTCAGCTTGAAAAGGCTGCGTTAAGATGCGTACATTCGGCCATTGAGATAACCGTACAAAAAATTTGAACGATTTTTTTTTCTTTTAGCATTATTTGTAAAGTTGCAGTCAGACTACAAGGAGTATTCGCTGGCGGTCAAAGCTTCGGGCGCGACCGTTGAGCGCGTTATGACAGCGAGCTTCCACAGTTCTTTTGCAACGTGCTTTCCGCACACTCAAGATTTCCGGTCTTATACTCCGTTTCACCTTATGTTGTACCGCAGCGAAGGCTAGAAGCGCGAGCTCATAGCGTTGGCAGCTGCCCTTGGTGCACGAGAGCTTGTGCCGCCAAGATGCGCCCTAGAGCAAGGAGCTCGCGCTCGTAGCCTTCCCTGCGGTACATCATAAGGTGAAATAGAGTATAGCAGCCTACTAATGTGAGCTTGTTCCGAGCATGCGCATTAAACAGCGCCCTCAAATATGGTGTCCATTGAAATACGTCCTACAGAACAAAGTTACGGTGTGCACTGCAGACATGTAAGGTAGAATCATCTGCGGCACGACCGAAGCATGACGGAGCATATTTGCTTCAGAACATGCGTATGCTATCAACACGTCTGCAGACAGTTCTTATGGAACCAATGGGAAAGGACCCGTATACAGGGAAGAAACACGACTCAGTCGGGATCTGCAGAGTGTTCCTTGTGGGATGTACAGCCGTGAGCAATATGAAGGTGAAGAGCCCTCTTCTTGTTTTTGACGCTCCTGCAAGTTTCGGAACAAGCTCTGTTCCAGAAGAGGGCTAGAACGCAAAGTATAGACCCCCAAGCCACGTACCATATGAGACGTTGAGAGTTAATATAGCTTTAGGGAGCCGTAAAACAGGCAAGAAACCAGGTAAGGTGTTCACCTTCATTGTGCCGGCGGGTGTACGAGCGATGCGAGTGCGGCTTTGTGGGGACTAAGCACTATTTGTTCACTTGGATAGATCATCGAGAATCCCTCCGGATCAAAGTTTGGTTGCATCTAGATTTTCGTCATGTCAGCATATCTGCTCCACACAACAACAAAAAATAATAAGGCGGCTTCCCTATCTACTTTGGTGACATTTAGAAAACTACAATCTACACCCCCCCCCCCCCCCCCCCCCCCCCCCCCCGGCGGGAACCCAGTGGAAGTAAACAATTGCGTGAAGCAAACTATACTATGATGCTGAAAAAAAGAAAAGACGCAGCTGGAGCTGACAAAACAAAGCTGGAGGTGTAAGGCTCCAGCTTTGCAAAACACCAAAACATTATTCATACAGCAATATCTCTAACAGATGGCCGTATTTTTTGGAAAAGAAGTGCGCGGTTAAACAAGGCCGACGAGGCATATCTGACGTCGCGATTCTCATTCCCTCAAAAGGGGAACCGCAGCGAGAAGGAGAGAAGCAAGGCCGCTTCCCCTCATTTTCAAAATCTTTAGGAGGACAATGACGTCATAGACCTCGTTTGATCGCGCCCTTCTTTTCCGAAAATACGGACATCCGTTCGATATATCGATGTATGACTGATGTTTTGGAGTTTCTAGCGTCCCGTTCAACGCTTCTGCGGCCTTATTGGGACGAAGCGATTCAGTTCATTTAGAATTTAGTTTTGTTTGGTATTTGTTGTTTACTTGATGAAAACTTTGTTGTCACTGACTGCTTAAGAAACGCAGAGTCCTGAACACCTGATTATCGCTCTTCAGGCGATGAGATTGCAGCATTTGCCGATAAGAACGCCAAAAACGAATCACGAATAAAAAAGAATGAATCTAATAAGCGACTTACCCCGCGATTCTTAGGCAGTCAGTAACAGTGGCTAAGGATAGTGGCCGGTCGGATGCTTTTAAAAACAAAATATCACTTTTTTTCTTGCATATTCGCACCTTTTTTAATACTAAGCACACGCAAAAGTGTTGACCAAATATTAACAAAATGAAGGTTTTCGGCCTAATTCTCGCGTGACGAAATACTATACAGACGGTCAGAATAACTTACGGAAGAAGTACGACGCAGGAAAGTCTGGCAAAAGGCGATAGGTTGTCCTCATCGCGAGTTATGCCGCAGGTCTGAAACATAGGAATGAAACTGCTTTGGATACATGGTTTTGCGCTAAAAAAGACGGACACAAGAGAGAGAAACAAACACGAGTGCAACTTACAACTGTATTGAGGAAACCTTTAGAAAACATACAGATATATCGTCCACTTCAATGCGTCCACGCATGCGTCATGTCACTATCACACGCTCGTCACAGAAACTTATCAAGGAAGCGTTTCTCAGCATTATACAGACTTATCCAGGTATCGCTCACACATAGGGCGCCTTTCTTTTTGATAAAGGCTTCCAACAGCTCACGTGCTCCTTGTCCCTTACTTCCGCCCAAAATTACAGTGTCAGAAAAACGTGGCCCACTCTTACAGTTTCTGCAGTGTGCAGGCAAGTGTGCCCCGTCATTAGTCTAAATTTTGAGCATGTTCGCTGAGACGGTCGTTGGCACACCTTCCCGTTTGCCCCACGTATGTCTTCCCACACGTGAGCGGGATTTCATAGACGACCTCTGATTTGCAGCCAACAAGCGGCCTGGCATGCTTTGTGCTGCATCCTCGCTTCTGTCTGCTGATTCACACTTTGGCGGCAGCGGCTGACGGCCGAACACAACGCTGACTCCAGTTTTTTCTTCCAACGTACTTCTACAGATAATCTGGGGAGCGCTCGGGCCGGTACTATCTTCAGCGACCGAGTTTCGTGCCGCTATCACGGACGCTATTGGACGACGACAGCGGCATCTACAACAACGCCCTGGCTGCAACCAGCAGCGCGCTTCGTGTTCATTCACACTTTGGCGGCAGCGGCTGACGGCCGAACACAACGCTGACTCCAGTTTTTTCTTCCAACGTACTTCTACAGATAATCTGGGGAGCGCTCGGGCCGGTACTATCTTCAGCGACCGAGTTTCGTGCCGCTATCACGGACGCTATTGGACGACGACAGCGGCATCTACAACAACGCCCTGGCTGCAACCAGCAGCGCGCTTCGTGTTCATTCACACTTTGGCGGCAGCGGCTGACGGCCGAACACAACGCTGACTCCAGTTTTTTCTTCCAACGTACTTCTACAGATAATCTGGGCAGCGCTCGGGCCGGTACTATCTTCAGCGACCGAGTTTCATGCCGCTATCACGGACGCTATTGGACGACGACAGCGGCATCTACAACAACGCCCTGGCTGCAACCAGCAGCGCGCTTCGTGTTCATTCACACTTTGGCGGCAGCGGCTGACGGCCGAACACAACGCTGACTCCAGTTTTTTCTTCCAACGTACTTCTACAGATAATCTGGGCAGCGCTCGGGCCGGTACTATCTTCAGCGACCGAGTTTCATGCCGCTATCACGGACGCTATTGGACGACGACAGCGGCATCTACAACAACGCCCTGGCTGCAACCAGCAGCGCGCTTCGTGTTCATTCACACTTTGGCGGCAGCGGCTGACGGCCGAACACAACGCTGACTCCAGTTTTTTCTTCCAACGTACTTCTACAGATAATCTGGGGAGCGCTCGGGCCGGTACTATCTTCAGCGACCGAGTTTCATGCCGCTATCACGGACGCTATTGGACGACGACAGCGGCATCTACAACAACGCCCTGGCTGCAACCAGCAGCGCGCTTCGTGTTCATTCACACTTTGGCGGCAGCGGCTGACGGCCGAACACAACGCTGACTCCAGTTTTTTCTTCCAACGTACTTCTACAGATAATCTGGGCAGCGCTCGGGCCGGTACTATCTTCAGCGACCGAGTTTCATGCCGCTATCACGGACGCTATTGGACGACGACAGCGGCATCTACAACAACGCCCTGGCTGCAACCAGCAGCGCGCTTCGTGTTCATTCACACTTTGGCGGCAGCGGCTGACGGCCGAACACAACGCTGACTCCAGTTTTTTCTTCCAACGTACTTCTACAGATAATCTGGGCAGCGCTCGGGCCGGTACTATCTTCAGCGACCGAGTTTCATGCCGCTATCACGGACGCTATTGGACGACGACAGCGGCATCTACAACAACGCCCTGGCTGCAACCAGCAGCGCGCTTCGTGTTCATTCACACTTTGGCGGCAGCGGCTGACGGCCGAACACAACGCTGACTCCAGTTTTTTCTTCCAACGTACTTCTACAGATAATCTGGGCAGCGCTCGGGCCGGTACTATCTTCAGCGACCGAGTTTCATGCCGCTATCACGGACGCTATTGGACGACGACAGCGGCATCTACAACAACGCCCTGGCTGCAACCAGCAGCGCGCTTCGTGTTCATTCACACTTTGGCGGCAGCGGCTGACGGCCGAACACAACGCTGACTCCAGTTTTTTCTTCCAACGTACTTCTACAGATAATCTGGGCAGCGCTCGGGCCGGTACTATCTTCAGCGACCGAGT